AAGGAAACTGTCTGTAATAATGAGCTGTCCCTAAAGTGGTGCTTAATTTCATTTGCCAGCAGTTCTTTTTATCTTAATATTCCAGATGGAATATGAAACAACTTATTATTTGAAACTGGCTACAGTGTTGATGGGATGCTACAGTGTACAATAATACTTTGAAGGGTCTGCACTCTTATCAATCATAGTCAATGCCTCCTGTGAGCCAGCTCATGGATGAATTTGATACATGTACAAAAGGAAATCCAACAGTCAACAATCAGAAAGATGTAATACTATGTGACCTCATGATGGAACTTAACGAAAGGAAATGTATATTTTTTTTTAAGTTACATGTATTTTTTTACCCTTTTTTTAGTTATGTAAATAGGTCTTCTGTTGAAGAAAATGAAACGATGTCAAAATGTTTTGCTGTGCATGCATAAATCATGCAAGCATGAATTTGAGAAAGGTTTGGAATTGAAAACTGGACAAGTTTGTACTTGATGTACCAAATTTCTCATCAGCTGAAACTAACAAGCATCATGTGCCAATTTTTGGCTCTAGTTGACATCTTAAATAAGAAAACCCATATTTTGGAAAGCATTTTTTGGCAAAACAAGAACTGATTATGCGTATATATATTATAAAACTTAAAAGTACTCAATCACAATATTAATAAATAAACAGTACAGGTAAACCCCCAATGCTAGCAATCTTCTGTGACCCAAAGAGGGCAAGTATATATGTTGGTGTAAAAAAAATAAATAACTCCAAGGATTGCTCTACAGAGATATAACCATCCCTTTTCAGGGCTGTCATTAAGTTTTGAAACAGCCATAGCAAATGAAGATTCACCCAACACAGGTCCCAAAAATTTAAATTTAACATCAAGTGAGCTCTGCTGTAACAGGTGTTATGGGTTACGGCCCTTAATGACAGCTCTGCCTTTTTATTTTAGACAATTCAAAGTTTATGGAAAGCCAAAACATGTTTATTTAATCATTACATGTAGATATCATTACACTTTTATACTTCTTTGGAACATTACCTGCTATTTTTCAAGATTATTTCACAAAAAAATAAGACTTTACATAATTATCACAAATATACCTGATCAGCATCTAATATAAAATTTTATTCTACTGTTGTAGTCAATTTTTTATGGCAGTTAATTTAAAATTTTCTCTTCTTTTTTGTGTATGGCAATGTATGCTAAAAATAAAAGAAAAAATAATAGTTATGCTGAGATACAAAATTAACTGTGCACAACATACATGTATACATAGATTAACAGCCAAAGAATTCTCAGTGAAATACAGAGGGGCAAATTATTATGGAACAATCCACCTGAAAACATTAATGCCATGGCTGATTAAACAAGATGTCTAAGTACAAGTACAGAATAACTTCCAGCAAACATTCAGGAAATAGTTTAAATTGTAATATAAGGTGCCAAACATGATAGGGCCATTTTTGTTCTCAGTTAAAAAAACAAACTTTGTGCACGCATAATGCATGTACGGTCTCTAGGGAAAATACTATTTTTTCACTTTCGATCGATCAAAATCGTGTCCCATTTGACACACATTCTAAAGAGAAAACGCGCTGATTTAGATTTAGCGGTCTTCCTATTTATAATTATAATAATTATTATTCTGTTGCTCAAACGGCCCTCCACCAGCTGTACCTTTCAATTTTCTCTTGTGTTGGACTGTGGGACGAGAAACTTTAACCTGAGCATAAAATGCCAGCGAAGCTTAATAAGTAAAAATTCGAATGTTTGAGGATACACTGAACTAGACCTCCAGAGGGTCCCTGAACTTCAAAGATGCTAGTCGATATTTGGTACAAAAAGGGTCCACACGTTTAACACAACTGTCGCTTCCGTGCACAACGGTACAAGCTAATTTATATACATAACAAAGCCCAATAATTTTTCTTTCACTTCTTTACAATTTCCTGTTGTACCGATGTGCACGAAACTAACAGGAGCATAGAAAGTCAAAATTACCCACCTTTTTGGCATGTCTTTCGCACCCATGCCGACGATTGCAAAGCCAATATCTCCGACAAATAACCACCACTGGGTTTGTCCGCCGTTTCCAAGGCGCTACATTTTCTAGAGAAAACATTCCACTCAAAACTTTCACCAAAATGTTTTTTGATCTCTTACTATGGCAAGAAAACCACAACGCTATCACTGTCAAAAAAACAGCCATTATTTTTTTCATCTCAACCGGCATCTTTGCCTCAGAGCCAATGACATTGCCCGAAATAGATGACGTGTCATTTTTTTCCTCGAGAGTTTAATTCACATGTCCAACCACACAATGAGCACATCCGGCACATGAAATTCGTCATACATATGCAGGTTAAAAAGAACCAACCGATCCTGGTAAGAGTCTTGTAGGCCTATCAAACCTTTTTGTTTTTCACTTGGAATTTTCTTAACCGCTTAAGACAATCTTTTCGCTGCTTGCAGACACAGAATTCATCAAAATTCCGGGTCAGCGACGATTGATTGATTTGTCGAGTTAAGTTTCTTATACATGACTGGTTTGTTCGGTAGACCACAAACACAGAGGGAAAGGAACGGCTGTGAAGCAGACTAACTAGGCAGGGTATTGAAAGCGGAAAATATATCTTGAGATCTGTTGCTCTTTCACAATCTACTTCGAACGGTAAGTCGGGTTTCATCTTGAAACGATGGTTCTTGTAACATTCAGAACGCATTTATAAGATTTTAAACCAGGACTAGTGAGTTAACCTCTGATTCAGATAGCGGTTTCGCTCAGCGTCATTGCGTATAAATGGGGGTTTCTAAATAGCTACAATATAGAGTTTAAGTATCCCGTATACGGCAAACGGCAAACGGCAAACGTCAGATTCAAGTTGAGAATTTCTCAAAATAGAAAATGAGCCGATAAAAACAGCTCAAAACAATTCGCAACTACAGAATACAGGGCCATATTTTCCGGTCTTAAACAGAAGTGGCTCGGTGGCTCGCTAGTCACGACAAGTGTTTAAAGAACGAGAAAGATATAAGACATAAGTATAAGACAGACATAGAAGACATATACTTTAGTATGTATTGTAGCAGATTATAGGTATATATTTTAGTGGCTCGGCGGCTCGGTGGCTCTTCAGTCGAGGTTATATAGTTTAGAGGCTCGACGGCTCGGTGGCTCGTTAATCGGGACTACCGAGCCACCGAGCCACCCCAACGAGTATACCTAGAAAATTTGCCCTGTATTCTGTAGTTAAGTAAATACCACATGTTGAAATAATGAACAGTAGGGGAACCTTGGTCACACGGTACAAATTCGCGTTTGCCGTTCGACGTAAACGTGATGCTTAACATCTCCAATATCAACTATACGTAGAATGTAGCTAACTTTGAGTTTCTCCTTTGGACGTTTGTCTTGTGCTTGTTAACTGAAAAGTGGTGAACTTTACAGTGATCCATTTACGGCAGGGCCTAATCCAAGCGGAAGTCGAAATCATATTCGTACATTTTGAAGTTCCAAGTCAAATTATTTGCTGAAAGAGCTGATTTCGTCGAACGTAATTTCTCAGTTTAGACATCACATACATATACAACTCGTCGAGAGAATTCGAAATTATCTCATTAGCATAAATATCAACAAGGCTATAATAACTTCTGGTTCGCAGTATATGGCAAACGGGCGGACTACACATGTTTAATTTGGGGAATTTATCGATTATTTCTTTTTCGGCCACGTTTCTAAATTTATTTCTGTAATGACACACTTACGAGTTGACGGTTGATTAATTCAATGTCCTGAAATAAAGCAATGCAATGACATTTTTATTACATGCAAACCAAAAGAGACGCGCTCCCATGCAAACTACCCTTGGGGTGAATTTAAACAAATGTCTTTCTACATGCTTTGTGTAATTTATGCGCTTGAGCAATTGTCTATTGTAGAAATCATCATAAAGCCTTATTACCGTCCTTACGCACAACTTCGACGTGAAATGGCCAAATTTTATGTTTATTGAGAACGGGAAGTGCAAGGCAGCAAATTCTACCATTTCTGTGAGAACTCAAGCGTGGTCACCTCCAAAAGCAATTATACATTCTGGATTTATATTCCTGAATAGCCTTCATTTTTTCTCGGCATGCAGTTTGTTGGTGTTGCAGCGGAAACCGTTGTTGGTTGGCTTGTGTGTTGTGCTGCGGGTATTGTTCAATGTCTTCTCAATGTTTTGTTATACGCCATTTGGGTATCCTGGCTCAAACTTCGAATTACCAGAAATTCATTAAAAAAACAAATCAAATCCCAGATTATGCAAGAGAATACAGAAATGATTATCTTTTTATAAGAGGTATAGATACATGTTTTAAATTCTTTTGGGATAATACATGTAAAGCGGATAAAGGGATATTTCAAAACAATAGAGTTGAAATTATAAAGAAAAAAATTAATAAACTTGACCAAGCCCAGAGATTGGGTTATCTTAATGATATTAGTAATATGGAGATTGATGAACAAGATGTTTTTTATTCATCTTCACTTTTGGAGGAATTAAATGATTTTACTGATTATCATGTAGATGATGATTGGGAAATTGATCAAGAAAGGTTTGATAGATTTGTAGATCGTGATTTTCCAGGTTATAAAAATCTTGTTGAATGTATTGAGTTATTTCATAGTAAATTTAAAATGGTATTTGATAAGAATAAAATTAAAATTATTTGGCCTGATAGTGATAGTGATAGTGATGATGACGGAGTTGATAGTGATGATATTAAGGATATATTAAATGGTTGTGAAGATTCGGAGTCTGATAGTGATAGTGATTAATTATAATTTAAAGTCTTATAACAATGTTTGTTACAAGACTTAATTTTCAATTGGTATAACACCAAGATCCCACAATCTTATAGATTTATAATAATATTAAGTTGTTTATTCAGTAAAATTAGGGTAATCCCCATTTGCTGAGTTGAGTAGGGAATTTTCCCAACAAAAATAATCTAATCAAATAATAAAATGGAATTTAAAAACGATATTCCTACAAAAGAAGATTTGGATTTTATAGTTGATGATGGTTATAATCATGATGAGGACCCAACATATGAGCCTAAAGATTCTTACTCATCAGATGATGATAAATACGTTATTTCAGGTAAAGAGTTTAAAAAACTAACCAAAAAGGCTAAAAAACTCGGCGCTGAATCGCTTGATTATTCAACACGTAAAAATAACAAATATGTAGCCACACTTTCAAGTGGAAAGAAAATTCATTTTGGGTCATCACAATAATTATCCAGACTATCTTATTCATAAAGACAAAGATTGAAAAGAGAGGTATCTTGCTCGAGCTAAAAAGATTAAAAATAAACAGGGAGAGTTAACTTATACTAATCCTGAATCATCTAATTTCTGGTCTGTAAATCTACTCTGGCCAGAAAAATAATGTAAAGTTATCTAGGTATTAAATAAAAATAATGAAAGCTTTTTCAATTGATAAAAAACATTATGAAATAAATGGTGGAGGATTTACTCCTAGAACCGATCATCGTTATATTTGTCTTTGTTGTTATGATGGGTCTAATGATGAAGAAATGATAAATGTTGAAATACCAATTCCTATTACATTAGATGAAAAATGGTTTGAGAAAATAAAAGAATATAATAAAGGTTTAAAGAAATAAATTATTTTAATAAAATGCAGTTATCCAGCTATGATCATATTACAACCGAAAACATTCTCTTTAATGAAGCTGAAGAGTACAAAGTGAAAGATAGCAAGATCAAATACAAATGTATCCCAATTGAAGTCAAATATCCAAATGGAAAGAAAGGAGCTTTGGTAATCGAAACTCCACTTCTTTTCAGCTTTGGTGTGAATGAGAAGAAAAATCAAGAAACAAACAAGTTAGTAGGTTATAGTATGCCAGTATGTCTTTGGGCTAAAGATAGTGAGCCGAATACTAAAGAAAAAGCATTTTTTGATGCTATTAACAATGTAACATCTATCTCTCAGCAACATCGTCAAATACGGTGCAGATCTAGCATCAACTCTATCTTCACCATTTTATCATAAACAGGAAAAATATACAGATAAGAAAGGAAAGAAGAAAACAAGAATAGATCCCTCATCAGCGCCAGTTCTCTATGCAAAACTTATTTACTCTGAGAAATCAAAGAAAATTCTTTCACTATTTAAAACAAAAGGAAAGAAAGATTTAAATCCTTTTAGATATATTGACCAGTATTGTAATGTTAAAATGGCTTTGATTATTGAAGGAATATTTATTAGTAAGACTCTAACATCTTTACAAATAAAAGTACATGAGTGCTATGTCAAACCACTTAAACCTAGAGAGTCTTTACTAACTTATTGAAGAGGAAGAGGAAGAGGATAGTGAGCAAGTAGTTGAAGACTTAGTTATCTCTGATAAAGAAGAAACTGAGTAAATAATAGGATTTTATTTTTAATACATCATTTGTATTAAAAATTGACCAAATTCTTGGAAGTCACCCATGAGTTAAATTTATCAGGATATCCACTCCATTTTACTAGTGCCATTTTCTTTTTATTATCCCTCCTGATACCTTTTTCTATTCTAAATGTCTGCTGTTTTGCTTTTTGTAATTCTTGCCCATAGAAAGAACCCTTAATTTCTTCTCCTGTCAAATCAACAATACTATATGTAATAGGTTTTGCAGGTAAAACTTTATTAATCACAAATATCTCCTCTGTCCAGTTTGGTGTGTAACCTTTATCAAATACCTTTCTCTTATACTTAGAAATTCTAACTTTATCACCAACCGCAAACTTTGGTTTACCAGGTTTCAAGTAAATCAAATCGCCATACAAATTAGACCAAACTTTACTTTCATTTTTCTTTTTACTCGCTTCAGCAGGAGTCATTTTTATACTAGAATGTCTCGCATTATTGTAATCATTAACTAGTTTATCTATCTTGTTCCAGTAAACAGTGTTGTTATTCACAGTAAACATCTTCCACATTCTGTTTTTCATTGATTTATTCCATCTCTCAACTACGCTTGACTTTTCTTCGTTTTCAGTGTGATACAACCTAATCCCCTCTTTCTTCAGAAACTCTTTGAAATGTTTACTGATAAACTCAGAACCTTTATCTGTCCATAACATCCTTGGTTTACGTTTACTTTTGAATATATCTTCAAATGCTTTACTAACAGTTTCAGTTTTTTTATCTTTCAGTCCCCTAATCCAACCATATTTGCTAAACACGTCTATAACCATTAGAAGATATTTAATCCCTTTGTTCCACTTACTAAACTTTTGCATTTCAACTAAATAATATAAGTAGAAGGTTCATCAGGAATGTAATCAACCATGTATTTATTATTTGCTTCTGCATATCTTTTTGATATATGTGCTGGATCTAGATTGTAATGTTTTAGACAAGTTTTTCTAAAGTTCTCAAATACATCTGACAGAAGTAGGACATCAGACTTTAGGTAAAGATCGTGATAATCTCTAATTGTTTTACATTTGAAAGTATTCCAGACATTAATAGCGTGTTGATAATCATCATCAGTTATGTCTTCATCATTTAGTTTTGAATAAAATTCTTCTTTTGGAGGTAATTGTGTTTCAGATAGTTTTTCATTTGAGGAAACATCATCGCTTTCTTTACTTCGCACCGCTCTCCACTATCTGAACGCTTGGAACAGGCTAACATAATCATAAGGATAAACCCCCTTACGAGTTAATAACTCTACATTTTCACTAAATATTTCTTTTGTATTATGGAAATCATCTGGTTGTAAATTACCACCAAGATTAGCAAGACTCGTCTGAAGAAACTTGAATGAATCAATAAATTGTATTTCAAAATATAATGAAATAGACTCTCCAGTTCGTCTAGATTTATACTCATCAACCTTAATCTTTTTGGAAAGGAGATATACTTTTCTTCTGTTGAGGGAATACAGTTCAACTCACCTGGAATAGTAGAAAGTTGTTTTATAAACAAATGTGCATCATACCCTTGAAGATTATGAAATATAACTGGAAGAATCATTGGTTTTCGACACTGGAGATTACAACTGTTATGAGCAGCGTCACGGTATTGACCAGTAAAATGACAATGATCTCTAACTTTATCAGTAAGTAATTCTTTCTTACAAATATGACAAGTTTCAGCTTTATCAAAAGATATTTGTTCGGCGTGTGTTAATTTAAGAGGTATTGGATGATGATAAAAATCATTATATATCTTATTAGTTACTTTTGCAAGTTTAGTAACAAATATTTTAGAAATATCATCACTGTCTTTGGTTTTTGTGTAAATAATTGGTTCAAATTTTATACCAGGAACTATTCCTTTGATGTAAAAACAAAATCCTGATGGTTCATGCTTTTGGTACTTGTAATTATATGATTTTTCCGGGTTTGGACTACAAGTATTTATTGGTTTAGTAAAGCATTCAAAATCTGCATAAACTACAAAAGGAATTGGCAACTGTTTGTGGTAATTTTTAAAACCTAACATCGTGTTTTGTGGCGGCATTTTCACAGAAACTGTTTCATTCGATGAACAATATGTAATGTGTTTTTGTAATAATTCATACTTAGTAAAATGAGTAAAGCATTTCTTACAAATATAAAATGAACCACTCTTACTTGAAGTTATTTGCGATTCAACCAAACGAGTAAAGCTTTTAATTAGTGAATAATGTGAAGCACCATCTTGTTCATAGAAAAACAAGTCAATAGTATTTAAACAATCTTTCTCCGCCATCCTCAAAGGGTAAAACTTTTTGTTATCATTAACTGAAAAAACATTTATTCCTGGAAGAGATGGGTTAAGTTTTTCAAATTTGGAAATATGTTTTAATTTCATTGGAAAATTAATTCCTTCGGTGTTAAGAGAATTCTCATACTTCTTTAAATCTGTTAATCGGGTATCATTAACTTTTCTTGGATGAAGATATCTAAGTATACACCAAATAAAGCATTTCTCTTCTTTGTTTTCAATATTAACTATTGCTTTTTTATCTGATATCCAATCTGGAAGAGGAATGTAAGATGACCCATTCATTGGATTAAACTCAGAAGTATGAATTTCAAGTTGAACCACTTCTTTAAAATACCATCCACTTCCGTTTTTTTGGTATGCCTCTAAATCTTCAATGATTTTTTTAACACACTTATCAATTAATTTCTCTACATCTGTTGATTCAAGATTAATATGTGCCCCTGAGTTAAAGTATGCCTTATCTTCTTTTAATCCAACAACTCCCTTAGTTTTACTAAGTATTTGTTGTTCCATTAAACAAACCAAAAAGCATACTAAATTTAATATTTCGATGATATGTAAAAAAAATCGTTTAAAGTTGCATAAACTTTATTAAAATATTCAATTGGAATAAGACCAGGATCTCCTTCAAAAATATACTTATTAATAAAGTTTTCAAAAGCTGATTTTTCTTTTACAAGTCCTTGATGATATTCCTTAATAGCTCTCTCAAGAGCTTCACGAAAATAAGGAGGAGTATCTGCGGGGAATTCTTTATTTTCTATACATTCCTGAAAATACTCATCAAATGATTTTATCTTTTTGGGTTCTGGTCCTGACTCATCGTTTTGACGGGTTATCTTTTGGATTTTTTCCTTTCTTTTACTATATCAATACCTTGTTTTACTTTTTCATTAAGTTTTTTCATTTTTTTAATATCTTTGATTAATTTTTGTTTCTCATCTAATTCTTTATAATTTTTCTTAAGACTTTCTTTTTCTTCTTCTAATATATGTTTTAATTCTGCCAAAGATAAATTCTGATATTGCTTATCAGTTGTAAAGGGTTGAGAACCCTGAAAACCATCATTTGATTGGTTAGACGTTACGTCTTATAATCTTATTATTAGATTATAAGACTTTAAGCTATAATTAATCACTATCACTATCACTATCATCACTATCACTAACTAACCCACTAATCACATAATCATCATCATCATCATCATCACTATCGTAAATTAGTGATTTATAATAATCTTCTTCACTCACTTCATCTACATTTATTTTATCATTAAATCGACTAAAACATTCAAAAAACCTTTTAAGACCAGGAAAATCATTTTCCACATTATTATTATACTTTTCCTCATCAAACTTACATCTATCTGGATCATAATATAAATTCATATAATCATTTAATTGTAAATCTAAACTCTCTATTGATTTAACATCTTCATATTTAAAATTTATTTCACTAGTATCATTAAGATAATCTAATTGTTGAGCTTTTAAAAATCTATTGAAGTTTCTCATAAGTCTATCAGCTTGGTGACTTTTAAATATTTCTTCTCTTCCTAATATCTCTACAAAATCCTCACATACCTTATTAATACCTCTTATAAAAAGATAATCATTTCTGTATTCTCTTGCATAATCTGGGATTTTATTTGTTTTTTTAATGAATTTCTGGTAATTCGAAGTTTGAGCCAGGATACCCATTTTACTAACTACTCGCAACAGCGAGAAGCAATTTAAATATTTTATTTGTGTTTCATTAGCTTTTTCTTCCGAATGTCTCGCTAATTTCTCTTTAAAGGCTGTGTCTTCACTAGATTCTTAGTTGCAATTGTTGGTTTACAAAACACAGACCTTACACGTACACTAGACCTATTCTTCAGCAGCTCCCTGTATAAGCACGTTATGCTAATTTTCCTAATTTGTTCTCTTCATATTACTTTATTCCCAAGTGAGTGTGCATTATATGTAAGATGGCTGAACATTGGCCAAGTTGATCAGGTTAATAAAAATGCAACAATGAACAAGGAAAAAAAACTAACCATCTTGAGCGAACAACCTTGCTGGTCAATAAAGGATTCATTATAATGGCCGAAAAGAGGACTTTTTTCGTGGGGCCAACTCGGAAAATCCTGAGCAGGCCAGATGGGATTATCTTGCCCGCTCAGATACATAATAAAGCGATTTACGCTAGTAGTTTGTATATTGCAGTTTGAATGCGTGGCACGTTGTTGCTATGTCGCTACCAGTTAAATCCAGATTTCCTATTTTCATTGTCGTTTTTTTTTTATAATTTTCGTCACTCCCATTTTCCTGTGTAAGTTTGGGGGTACAGATTTTGTAGGAATAGACCAACAGGACTTGACAGTTTAACTTGGTCTAATCTTCTTCTGTGTAACAGTGACGAGCTTGACCAGAACTAAAACTGAATATATCCTAGCTTACAGAGTGCTTAAGCAAGAGCGATAGCATTCATGTGCGAAAAATAGGTGTTTAGGAGTGTTTATAAATATAGGATCAAAAGAAACCGTAATTGAACTGTTTCCGGCTGCTACTGTGGAAATTTTGCATTGAAATCGCTAGTCAGAATGGTGAAATTTTTCCGAGATTTATCGAAACAGATTTTAGTTTTAAGTTAGTAAGTGAGTAAAATTCACTTAAAACTGATTCAACTTGGAACAGAGAAATTAAAAGGTGTCAAGGCGCGTAGCTCAACCCAAGTTTTAATGAGTTGGAGAAAACTGATTATTATGCGAACTTCGAAGTAGAAGTGTGAACGAACGTACCACTTGAACAAACGAAGCTCGTAACCAAAATTACTTATAATTTCGATATCGCAGCTGCAAACGCCTTTCCAGGAAGGGAATTTGGTTTCTAATAACACTTACGTTCGTATTCTGAAGACAGTCTGTGAAGATAGTGTTAAGGAGGTCTCAGAGGTGTTATAAAACTTTGATTGAAAACTAAATTACAAAACACTAACTAAGGACCAAATTTTCTCGTTACTAAGAATTACCGCGCAACAACTTTTTTTTTAATTAACCTTTTCTTTATTTAATTTAAAGACTTGAAGTTGAACCGGTACTTCTCGACGACCGGAAATACGTCTGCTGTTCGCAGGCTATTCGAAGTGGTCCTTAATGCGACTATAGCTCTACCCAACAACCCGACGTCATGTTTGTGTTCTTGTTTTGAAAGCGCGATGAAGCAATAAAATAAAATGAAGGAGAGTTGTGAAAGTTGAAAAAGAAACTAAAAAATGTGCGATTACATAAGCCGTAAGTTTTATTATGTGCTTTATGTTTTTCTTCGTGCTTCCATGGGTTAACTTATGGTGAATAATTGAGTAAGTCGTGGTAAAAAGATGTGTAACGTTAGTCAGCAGTCTGGGTTGGTTGGATGGGTTATTCCAGAAAAATCGACATCCCTTCCGCCCCACCCCACCCCCCCCCGCAATGGAATCCCTTATTCCACCCGGATTTCCAAAACTTGTTGATGAGCCCCCCCTCTCCTCAGTATTTTTAAGTTCCAAGAGACCCCACCCCCCCCCACTTCCATCCAGATTGTTAGATGCCATAATTTTCATTGCAGAACAAGGTTCTGTTAGATGACCCTTTTATTAAATAACTCTAAAATTAATTTCTTTGTGAACTTTGTGTTTGTTGTGAAAGTTAACTTTTTTTTCATTTTCTAATTGTCTTACGCATTTTACAAACCAGCTGATGTTTGAGAGAACTTCTCTTGTTTTCTAAACCAACCAAAATATACAGCACGATACACATTACAACTGACTCAAGAGGTAATATGATGTAATCTGTACCCCCACATATTAGAGGTGATATACAGATGCAATGACTACATTTTAATTCAGTCGTATAGCCATTGCAACTTAGTAGTCAAGAACTTTAATAAAAACATTCAATTTAAACTAGTAATTGCCTGAACATACTTCGTGATCCTTTTGTTTTGCTTTGCCAAGTTGACATTTTAGCATACCCACATGAATTAAGACGTTTCCTGTGCATTTTATTAATGAGTTATCCTTATGGTGTGGTGAGGTCATTACTGGTACTTGCGTGAACATGTTTCGCATAAATTAAGCAGGTTTACCGCGCATTTTAGTTATGAGCCACAAATTGGCTAGCCTCCCACGCAGGCGTTTTTAGGGGAGCTCGTATTTCTTCCCTCCCCACAAACGCCTGCTCAACAGAGGACAACATTCCTTTCCCATTGTTGCATTCGCGTGGTAAGTGACCAATCAACGGTTTTTAAATAAAGTGTTGACAGGCTAAACATGACTCATAAGCTCGTGATAGTGAAAAAACGTGACCCAGAACGTGACCCTAGAGTTACCTTTTTCCTTCTTTTCTTTCGTTCGCTAAGGTTATGCAGCGCACAGAGAATTCTAAAACTGACTGAGTAAATCTTACTTTTGCCACTCTGAGACTAACATTTATTAGAGGTCATGAAGGTTTCTTAAAGTTTCATGCAGATCGCGTGATTATCGGGTTACCCTGCGGTCAAGGTCAACTTTCCACAATTTGGAAAGTACAACGTGATTGGCTAAGCGTGGGAAAGGAATGTTGTCCTCTGTTGAGCAGGCGTTTGTGGAGAGGGAAGAAATACGAGCTCCCCTAAAAACGCCTGCGTGGGAGACTACAAATTGGCTGGTACTTAGCTGGTACTTGTCCAGGCCGAAAGTGCTGGGACAACACTACTGTTATTGACCTTTTAATCTATATTCTTTGATTGGTTAGAGAACGAGCCGATAAATTCAAAATGCGGGTGATCTTTAAAATTGACAAGGTTGCAATAGACACAGTGCAATCAGTTGAATGAGGCCCGTCTATCGGTATGGGTTGAAAAAATGCGTTTACAATATATCAGTCTACGTCAAGGGCAGCCCTGAGAACGCCTTTCGGCGTCTTGTTTCCATTGTTTCACCTCAATCGCCACCAACCCAACAAGACCATTGTTTAACTCGCACCACCAACACATTTCTATTGTTTTTCCTCGTCATGTCCCTCCAACGCAATTCTGTTTTTTTGTCCTCACTACCAGCCACTCACAAGACGTAACGTACATCTCAAGTTTTTGTAAGTGCGAGTATCGTGGCAATAGATAATAGAGTTCAGTGAAAAACAACGTACGCTGTCTTTGGAAATCGTCGGTATACACTGTAGTTATACTTACATTTTTCATATCAGTGTGAAGGTGTCTCTTTTTTCATCTACTCTACGTGCAATAACCTTGAAATCTTCAACGTTGCGAGACATCGGTTTCTTGGTTATCTCAGACACGTAATTCTGAGCCTTAATATTCGTCAATATCGTTCAAGCGTTCGCCAGCTTTGACCAAAGCAGTCAAACTGTTTGTAACTTATCAATTGTACCCCGGTCTGTAGTATTCTAAAAGAACGTCTGGGAGAGTAATATCAAGGGCAACCGAAATACTGCGTCAAAAGTCTCCTCCTCGTCCGCTTGTGGAGTCAGGAATCCAGAGCTTTGGAATCCCGAACCCAGGGCTCAAGGAATCCTGACTCCAAGATCAGGAGCACCCAACGAGAATATAGTTCAAAACCACTTAAACATAGCATTATTAAACGTATTTTAGTATCTAAACGGTAGATATCTGGGCATATTTTTATCTCCTAAAAATTTTTCATCTGTTCAGATTTCCTAGCTGAAAGTCTAGTGATCCGAAAATTATAGGGATTAAAACTTACCTTTTCGAAAATTTCAGCCAAAAAAACGGTCGGCTCCCGAAAATTCTAGGTGACCTTTTTAGGGCAAAAATCCGTTTAAGATGGGCAATTACCTTATTATAGGAAATTAGCGCTCCATGATTCGCGTTAATTTTGTTGAGCGATAATTTCCGCGACCTTAATTAAGTGCAGCGTTAATTTCCGCGCTCTTAATTTCCACTATTTTAACCCCAATTTTGGAACTTGTCCAGACATTCTTGACACCTAAAAAACGTAATTAACTACAAACTTTCACAAAAGCTAGGGCGAAGGTTTAAAATATTTCGGTTCATCTTCATCGTTGTCACTGTCAGATGTGATGTCAGCTCAGTTTTGTTCAGTTTTGAATTTTTTTGCATCCAGTGTTGAAATAAATTTGTTCTAGTTGTCACCACCGTGTCTTAATCGCGTTAATTTCCTTTATTATAAAATTCTACCTCCTCTTTCGAGTTAATTTTCTTTATTCGAAAGTCGTTTTCCATTAAATTCGCGTTGATTTAAGTCGCGTTAATTTCCAATACCTTTTATGGAGCGTTAATTTCCTATAATAAGGTATACCAATTTTTAGATGTTCGAAAATCCTAGGGAGGCAGACAAGCAAGAAATTTTACAAAAAATGTTCCGATAATTCTAGATCTCAAATCGTGCTTCCAAACAGATATTTTCCGAAAAATGACGTTGGGTGCCCCTGCAAGATCTACTGGTAAGAAATACGGAATCTAGTCCCTAGAATCCGTAACCCACAGCGTGGAATCTAGACTGTCAAGACTGTCTTGCGTTACACTACATGGCACCATTTATGCGATTAACATTTTCCTTTTCTCTTTTGTAGCAGTAGTCCATGTGAAGAAAGCTATACAACTGACTAGACAATGGTTTTACGAAGTGTTAGAACAGGTGTTCTCATCTGCCTTATTTTAGCCCTCTCCGCCATGGTGATACTCATATCACATGTGATCTCGGGAAGGGGAACTTCGCTACCTTGGTTCTACAAAACCTCCCAAGTCTCAGTTAGCAGCCACAGCACCGCAAGACCTGTGACAAACAAAGAGATCTTAGGGAGAACAAAGCACACCCCAGATACCTCAAGCAGCCACAGCATCGCAAGACCTGTGACAAACAAAGAGATCTTAGGGACAACAAAGCACACCCCAGATATCTCAAGCAGCCACAGCACCGCAAGACCTGTGACAAACAAAGAGATCTTAGGGAGAACAAAGCACACCCCAGATACCTCAAGCAGCCACAGCACCGCAAGACCTGTGACAAACAAAGAGATCTTAGGGACAACAAAGCACACCCCAGATATCTCAAGCAGCCACAGCACCGCAAGACCTGTGACAAACAAAGAGATCTTAGGGACAACAAAGCACACCCCAGATACCTCAATAAGTGTGTTCGTAAGGATGTCTGGCAAACGACCAGATCACAGGCAGCGTTATTTGTGTAACGTTTTCAGGACTTCCGTTCTCTTCTGGCCTCCTTCCTTTGGAAATTTAGTCGTAGGACTTGATGAAGAATCACACGAGGATCATGAATTTGCCGAAAAATTAAAAACACTTGCCCAAAAATACTTTCCTGATCGTAGACTTGAATTCTTTTATGAGGCCCTTCCAAAGGACAAAGGAACTCTGGAGTTTCAAGGCTCGCCTAAGACACCCGGTTATAACAGACAACTTTGGAGCAGTTTTTTCATCGACCTACTTTCAAATGACACCGTCATTGCTTGGATGGACAGTGACTCAGCCTTTTTTACCCCAGTAACTAAGTCCACAATTTTTAATGGGACAAAGGTACGAGCCTTAGGCTCCGCCTGCACATTCTACAGGAGCTGGGTATATAACTGGGCAGATACTACTAAACGGGCGCTAGGATTACCATTTGTCGCTGATTTTATGACGTATTTTCCGGTATATATGTACCGAGACACGGTCACTCACTGCAGAGAGCATATCCTAAAACATTTAAATACAAATAACTTTGAGGAAGCCTTCAGAAAGTTTTACACGACTTTTATCTCTCCAGTCAGCGTCATCCTCTCTTATGCATGGTACTTTGAGAGAGATCGCTATGACTGGAATTTTGAAATGTGCGATGACCTAAAAGAATATAATAAAAGATTTCCAAGTGGCCACACCATTAGGCCCGAAGATATAGAAACTGTTCTTTCCGAGCCTCAAACAGGTTATCATGGTAACGCTGGGTCGGCTTTCAACGAAAATGTCTTTACCAGTTATTGCTTATCACACAAAGCAGCAGGAAATAATTTGGATATATGTTCTAATCATTCCGCGTCGCCAAGCAATAATTTACTCTTTTTTGTCCACGATCTTCAGGGAGGTGTTGATAAGCACCCATGTAAAGGTGACCTTACCAATACCTGTTTGCAAGTTCTAGAGCGACATTATAACCAAGTCGGACTTGAGATAAAACAAGGCCGTAAGCTAGAATGGAGCAGTTTAGAAACTGCCGATACGCTTGCCAGCGAATTTGGTATAACATGTCCGCCGATTAAAGTTTGAGATTCGAAGGTATACACAGTCGACGAGAAATTTCTGGAACTAATGAAGCGAGCTGGAACAGGTTCTTAATCTAATAGCGTTAACTAATTCACTCGGTTCGAAAAACCTACTTGAAAATTGGTCAAGCTTATTTTGTTACTATAATAGTTTAAAAAAACATAGTAAAATAAATGAAGGTCAAGGAGGTTTTCCAAAAGTACACACGAGTAATCCGAGTAAGAATTCATCAAGAATTTCGTCAGCATTCTAATAGTAACAGAATAGAACTTGCATACCCCTTTCGTTCACCATAACAGTCACTGAACAATTTTTAAAACACAAAAACCGAGAAACAGCTGGAAACAGAGAACAAGTTGCCTACCTTCTACAAGCGCTATGTAGATGATACACTTAGCGCAATGCCGGATCTGACAGCAGCCTCAGAATTCCTGACGACATTAAACGAGAGTCATCCCTCTATCAATTTTACAATGGAGCTCGAAGAAAATGGCAAGCTTCTCTTTCTCGGAATGAATGTTATCAGGAATGGTTGCCGCCTAGACACCACGGTTTACAGAAAACCAACGGACACTGGACTTCTGCTACACTACCACAGTCACGTTGACGCCAGATACAAACGGTCACTCCTGAACACCATGCTTAACCGTGCGTTTAAACTCTCGTCTACGTGGAAGTTTTTTCACGAGGAATGTGAACGCCTTAAAGAGATCTTCTCCCGACTGCGCTATCCAGACGACCTTGTGCAGTCAACCATTCGCCAATTCATTGAATCCAAAGTGTCCGAGGATTCACACACCCAAGTGGCTGATAAAAGAGAAGCCCCAATCAGAATCGTGTTGCCCTTCAAAGACCAGAAATCAGCAAAAGTAGTACGTAAACAGCTGGCTGACCTGAGTAGGAAGATCAACGCAGACATCAGCCCAGTTTACACAAGTAGGAAGATCAAAGATGAAATTAAGGTCAAGGAAGACAAGCCGCCTCTTGTGAGTCAACAATGCGTGGTGTATTCTTTCCAGTGTAGCCTGTGTGATGCAGGCTATGTCGGCTACACGTGCCGACACCTACACCAACGAATTGAAGAACACAAAGGATCGGCAATCGGAAACCACCTCAGAGAGCAGCATGATATGGAGCCTGAAGACATCGCACAAAGTTTTAGAATCTTATGAAAGTGTCAGAACAAATTTGACTGCCTTATTTTTGAAATGTTTTTTATCCAAGAACTGAAACCGACGCTTAACAAACAGTGCGATTCAATTCGCGCCAAATTATTTGTTTAGAGTAGTTCTTGTTAACATTGTTTTATTTCCATTGTTTTTTGACTTTATAAATATTTTTAGCACTTTTTACATTTTTACATACTTTATCACATTTTAGCGTTCACCACATTTTTATCTATTATAACTTGTTTTTAACTTATTTATGCTAATTTAGAGAACTTTTATACACTTGAAAATGACCTCGGAGAGGTCGAAACGTCGTGATTTTTTATCGCTAATATTTATCTCAAAATCGATTTCTAAGAAATTACTTATTAAAAAACCACTACAGCTCGGTATAAGAAAATCCAGTTAATGTACATTACGTACATCATGATTGTTTTTTTTGCAAGTACGGTAGTTTCTTAGAAGAATTATGATAAACGCGAATCGGAATGTTAACTAAACTGACAAAGACGAAGAGAAAAAGAGGAAGAAATAAATGATAATTTGATATAATTCTGCCAAAAAGTCGAAAGATGCTGATTGATGCCCGTTATAACGAGAGTTAGAACACAATAAAATTATGCCGTCGGGACCGAGAGATGTGTCCATAAGTCCGTATGAGCTGGAGTTTGTCTCAGTCAAATGTCTGTAATTTTCGCCAGGAAGTTAGCAGCTGTCCTCATTATTAGCAAGGTGTCCGGTATCTGAAGAATTATGCAACTCGGGGAGAGGGTTTAATGTCACCGAGGCCGTCAGGACCGAGGCAGATAACACACCCTCCAAGACTAGTCTCTATTAGGGTCGCCACACAGCGCTCCTCCCCACTGGCGGCCGTTAGTGGGGAGGAGCGTTACGCGACGACCCATCCTCGGAAACCCAGACTAATTTTCCTCATCAATGTTAAGTTCCCGTCTTCGTATGTCTGCTTCTCGGCAAATTCAGGTTATAAAGAGATCGGCTTTACCTGCTGTAACAACTTCCGCGAGCTTTCATTAAAAAAAAAAAACAGCCTTTAAGACTTGGGATAGCCTAATCAAAGCTTTTGTTTTGTAGCCTTGTGCAAACGGATGCAACAACTCCCAACATTGTTGGCCTCCCAACATTGTTGGGCCAACAATGTTGGGAGGCATGTTGTGTCCGTTTGCACCTCGACAAACTTTTCACAACAACTCCAAACATCAAGCAACAACATGCCACAAAATGCAACAGGGTGCCGTGCAAATAGACGCAACATGTAACATCCAACAATGTTGGGAGTTGTTGGCTAACAACGTTGCGTCGACCGTTTGCACGGGTAGACCTTTTGAGCTTCCATGTTTTGTTTTGCTGTTGAAGAACTGTTTTGCTTTTTTTTTGTATTTCCTAGAGAACGTTTTTATTTAAATATACGAAAAAACAACCGACAAGCTAAAACTGGGGGGGTATTCTGGTCAATTTAATGACTGAATAAACTTACAACTTTCTTATTGTTTTCAGAGTCTAAAAAGCCTTTAGTTTAGTTTTATTTATTATTTTAAAATACTTACTTTTTTAAAATTTAATTAAAAATAAGTTTTTCTTTTCACAATAGCCCACGTTCGATAAATCAAAATTCTAACATGACTCCGAAGCATTACTGACAAAATTGCAAATTTTTCACGACTCCAATGCCTCGCAATTCCCAGAAGAGACTTGAGCACAAACAAAAGCTAGACTACGAGCAGTCTCTCTCTTTTCTTGGTCCGTCGAGCAAAACGTCCGAGACACGCAAATGACCACGCGCGTCACCGCTCAATGCTCTCGCGCGCATGCATTCCCTTACTAAATCTGAAGACAAAGAGAGACTGCTCGCAGTCTAAACAAAAGCAAACAGCATATAGAAAAGTGTTGACCAGAAAGCCTCGGATTCATGTTAGAATTTTAATATATTAAACGTGGGTTATAACATTGGGTTATAAGATCAGCTTTGTTTGAATTATCAAAATTCATACTTGGCTTGCAGGTGGAGGCTGAGAGGAATAAAACATTAGAAATGAATTATTAATCATTGAATCCCGATTCGATTTCTTTTCTCATTCTCGTAAAAGCCGCCGCATGACGATTTAATCAACTAGATGACTGCGTGCTCCCTCGTAAGCCACTTCTCACATGACGTCACGGCCGCCATGTTGGTGTCCCAAAACAATGAAACGGTGGCCATGTTGGTGTCCCAAACCAATCCTTTGGGAATTGAACTCTTTTCTTATGCAAACGCATTCTTTTGTCCCAAAAATTTGCATAGAGGCTGGCCACGTTAGTGAAAACACTCTATTGGCCCTATTTTGGTCCCCAGGGAAATTCTCTAGGCCTTTTATACACCCTTGCAAAAGAATTCGCTCTCTTCTCGCAAGTCTACTCCACAAGGAGCAAACAAGTTTCCCCACCCTCCTCCCCTACGGCGGCGCTGACAAATTTCCTGTGTAACCTCACCCTGCGCCTTTTGCAAAATTTTTCACCCGTAACTTATCCATCAAGAAGCATAGGGTGCCTTTTATGCGAACATGAATTCGTTACTTTTGTTTGCTTGCTGGGAGCCAAGTATCAATTTTGGTAATTCGAAACTGAGTTCTTTGATGCTATTAAATAATAATTGATAATGAATCGTAACTAATTCACATTCGCATTAAAAGCCACCCTCTGCCTCTTGATGGATAAGTTGTGGGTGAAATAATTTTCCCCGAGACAAGGGATGCTATAGACTAATCCAAAAGACGGAGAATGATTGCCAAAAACCTTTATTAAGTTTTAGTGTAGCCAAATCTTGTCATAGAAAGGGAAGGTTTCCGCAATGATTGTGACCTTGGCAGCCGTGTCCCTGTCGACGGCTGAGGTGCTTTGGGCAAGCATGTCAGCCACTTCGGTGAGCTAAGGAACTTGTCTGCTTTAGTTTATTACTTAGCGGTCTGAGTAGATTTCCAGCCGATCTGCGTTGAGATTTGCTCCATAGACGCGATTAAATTGTCTTTGCGGCGGCTTTTACGCGAATGAGAGTAACTGAAGAAAATAACCCGCTCCAGCTGCACTCGGCCTGGTCCCAAGCAGACGTCCTTATTTTTACATAAGCTCGGATTCCTTTGTTCTTTTGGGGAGAATATATTACATAACCCCCGAATCAACTGTCTGAAAAGCTGGGTGCGGCTTTGATTGTTTGAAGGGAAGACCGGGCTAATGAACAGCTAATTAAAATGCGAGGGATTATGTATTAATATGAAAGGGGAATAAGTGACTTATTAACTTGCATATTAATACATAATCCCCTCGCATTTCAATTAGCTTTTCATAAAGAAAAAATTCACAAATATTTATTGGAAATATTAAACACGACGTATTGGGAATATTAAACACGACGCTATAATTACTAAAAATAAACTGAGCTGCGTTTCTTTTGCGCCACATTCACGAATTTCTTAGATGTTGGTTCATCGATTTCCACAGCCAGAACGACAGTTCGAAATTGAGCAGCGTCTTTAAACTTCTACGGTTCTACGAAAGTGTCGGTGACATGGTAAGGTGTTCCGTTCTTTAACCAGTCATCCCAAACTCGTGTATGAAGACATTGAGAATCGAACAGGTTAAGGAAACGGTCTTCCTCGGTGTAGTCCTTGATGAACATCTGTCTTGGAAACCGTACATTTCTCAAGTAGCTCGTAAAATCTCGAAATCAATAGGTGTCATTAATAGAGCAAGATTTTTTCTACCTAAACCGTGTCTAAAAACTCTTTATTATTGTCTAGTTTATCCTTATCTTCATTATTGTATTATTGTCTGGGGATCTACGTACAAAACTAATCTTCGCCGTCTTGTCTCTTTGCAAAGCGAGTTATCAGAATTATTTCTAAATCAACTTTCGATTCTCCTTCAGACCCTATTTTCAAAGAATTAGAGCTACCAAAACTTTCCGACATTAGACAGCTAGAATTGAGTAAACTTATGTTTTCTCTTGACCATTCTCTTTTGCCTTCAAAGTTCAACAATTATTTTTCTTTAGACAAACAAGTCCATAGCTATGCCACTAGACACGCGAACGATTTTCACCTTCCTTCTTGCAGAACAAACCTTCGTAAATTTTCTGTCAGTTTCCAAGGGCCTACTTATTATAACTCTATAGAAAATGATATTAAAGACGGCTAATTCTCTCCACTTATTCAAAACGAAATTGAAAAAAAACTTATATATGAATTATTAGTTATAAATCTTGTAGTAAACAGTTATATTTCTTCACATGTCTGATCTTTTTTTTTATACTTATTGTTACATGTACCATACCTTATATTTTGTCAACTCAGTCTATGTAATTAGTTAATTTATACCTACCTTCATTGTATTTTACTTTCGATCCTGGCCTTACTGTTACTGTTAACTTTATTTTTACTCTGAGGGAGCCCAACTCTGGTTTCTTTTTGGGCTTCCTCGCCACTTTCATTTGCTTTTGTGTAACTGTCTTGTTTTATCGTTATTTGTATTTTGTGGTAAATCAAATGAAGTTACGAAGTTACAAAGTAAAGTAAGACATGTAGTTGACCTCTTTGTGTTTTGTGGTAATCTTGCTTCATTCCTCGACTGAATTTCCCTGTCAGTTACAGTATTGATCCCTCGCCCGGAATCTTCTTTGTCTGTAAACATGCAGGTTGGATCCTTGTTGTTTCGTAAGTACATTCTGAATCTTGTTTAAATATATAGAAGCATATTTAAGTCTATGTAATAGCTTTGGGTGTCGATCATAAAAATCGTTTCACATGTGTGCTTACATAAGCTTACATGTTTCATGCGACAGCGAGTTGCTCCCTACAGATCTGGCCTTTGTATGTTGCCTGTAGTTTCTTTGATAACATCTACCTGTAAAGCACGTGTTTGTCTGATTTCTTTTGCAATAAAGACATAGTTGCTGCTTCACCGAAAAAGAATTTTTCTGTATACTAATGCACATTTTACTGACGAAGATGGCAGCCGTAAAATATTGAATCTCGAATGAGGAAACGGAATCCCGGAGCGGAGTACGGAATCAAATATCAATGACAGAAAAATATTTTATAAAGATTCCTTGACACCGAAATGTTCAAAACATTTCCACTCCAATTTCTGAGACTGTAGATGTTTATCACAAGGATAAACCTGTACGAAAATAATATTTAATGTCCATGTAAATTTTTTGCATACAATGTGCATTTCCTTACTAGATTCAAAACGACATATACAATTTGCAGGGACCAATGTTAATGGTTCAAAATTGAAATAAATTTAGTACTTGTTACGAGACTTGTAGGGTTAAAAGGGACCTTTTCTCTTTGTGTACGTGCACAATGACAAGTTTAATATGAGGTGCAGAAAGGTTCTAAAAGTCACAAGATTATAGAGGGATATCATTTCCTTACACTCCAATTTGTCATTAACCTTTGAACACAAGAATAACAGCTTTATTTGATGACAAAGCAACCTTCATTGACACGAGTAAGACGCCCGTCTTTGAGTGGGAAGTAGCAATTCTATTTATCCATCTTTGAGTGGACAAAGTAGTGCTTGTGTCAATGATATTTCAAATGTTGCAACAGTCACTAGGAGATAAACAAGAATATTATTCAGGAATATAATTTCCTTACACTTCAATTTGTCGTTAAGCTTTGAACACAAGGATACATGTAACAGCTTTATTCGATGACAAAGCAACCTTCATTGACACAAGCAAGACGCCCATCTTTGAGTGGAAAGTTGCAATTTTATTTATCCATCTTTGAGTGGACAAAGTAGTGCTTGTGTCAATGATATTTCAAATGTTGCAACAGTCACTAGGAGATAAACAAGAATATTATTCAGGAATATAATTTCCTTACACTTCAATTTGTTATTACGCTTCGAACACAAGGATAACAGCTTTATTCAATGACAAAGCAACCTTCATTGACACAAGGAAGACGCCCATCTTTGAGTGGGAAGTCGCAGTTCTATTTATCCATCTTTGAGTGGACAAAGTAGTGCTTGTGTCAATGATATTTCAAATGTTGCAACAGTCACCAGGAGATAAAGAAGAATATTATTCAGGAATATAATTTCCTTACACTTCAATTTGTCATTAAGCTTCGAACACAAGGATATATGTAACAGCTTTATTCGATGACAAAGCAACCTCCATTGACTTAAGTAAGATGCCCATCTTTGAGTGGGAAGTTGCAATTCTATTTATCCTTCTTTGAGTGGACAAAAATGGTGCTTGTGTCAATGATACTTTCAATTTTTGAAAATGCCACAAGAAGATCAACTAGACGATTATATAGTGTTTTTATATTGTTACACTTTAATTTTGTATTGTGCGTCAAGCACTTGGATAAGGGCTTTATTCGATGATTTTTAAATATTTGTCTTTGTAATGCACTACCAGTAAACTGCCTCATTTTAAGCTCTCTAGTTTTTTTAGAACCAGGCTGTCACAATAATATACATATACATGTAATACATGTATTAGTATTTTGATATAAATATTTGACATTTTCTTTTGGTCTTTATTTCTTTGAGGTATAATGATGCGGAGAACAAAAACATTGAGGGTATTTTGGTTAATGAAGTGAGGGGAAATTTTGGGTAAAAGAAATGGCCCAAAACAGAGAAAAAAGGTAAGTTGTACACTTTTCTAAGTTTCTTGAATTTGGTACAGTGAAACCCCGCATTACGGCTACCTCAGTAATACAGTCACCTTGTTATCACAGCCACTTTTTTTGGCCGCCTGGCAAAAACAACCATACATTTTCTTGTAAAAAAAAACCCTCATTAATACCACCACCCCATTAATATGGCAAAACTTTTTTGGCCCATTGATGACCGTATTAACGGGGTTCCACTGTAGTTTCTTGGTGTTGCCAACAAGTGCAATCCCCTAATGACATAAATACAAAAGATTGAAAAGCCACTAAATAATACCCACACCAAAAGCAGGAGCAAACCAACAATACTTTAAGCAACACCAAGAAGCACTCTTAATTCCTTTCCCAGAGACCTGCACATTTAACATGCTTTCCTTTTGATAGGGGCCATTTTTAAGTACTGGAGTCAGAGAAGTAGCCCCCAGACGTGGTAAGGTGGCAAAATGGAAAACCTGAAGAACACAGAGTTTCTTTGGACAAGATGCCAATTAACTGTGAGAGCTAAAAAGGTAGGTAAAATACAGGTACATTATTTTGTTAATGCTTGCAGTGCAATATTTCTAATGTGTAGTTTAAGTCGTCCGCTTAGTGATTTATTTAGCCTGTCCTGTAACAGAGCTGTGCTTTGGCAGTGCCTGGTGGCCCCCTGTTGCATTACTGTTGCTCTTGGGTGACAAGGAAGTCTTAGTTTATTCAAACACAATTATCCTGGGTACCTGGATCTTTCAGGTTAAGGGCACAAGGGTCTTTCATTTTTTAAGGACACAACACATGTTTTGCATGTTTGTTACACAATTTATGATTGTTATAGAATGCACGAGTGCCACACCCTACCCCCTTTGACATTTTTAATGTTAACAGTGTTGTAACGGCTAACACGCGTTATTCCCGAATATTGATTCGTTATTGATTTAATTTGTATTGTATTACATTAAACCGCAAGATGACGTTATTCCTTGTCCATTAGGGACGCGATTACTTAAGTTCCGCTCAAACCGCATTTTTGTTAGTTGCCTTTGTTTGGGTAAACGATAAGTCGTGTTCTTCTTTAGTACAGTTTGTCCAGTTTATCTTGGAAGTTGTTTGGTCAAGCTCTTACAAGCGGGACTGTTATGTAAGTGTTTAAGTTTCCTTTTTATACCTAACCTTTTCGATAAGACTCCTTTAGCTAACCATATTACCACGTGGCATAGGTTGGTTGATGTTACTTAAAATGTAACTCACCTTTCACTTGGTTATTGGTACGTTTTAGAGTTTGTTTTTCAGAATCTTTTCAGTAGTTTGTCTCTTTTTTTTTTTATATAGTTTCAGTTTCTGTTTGTATTTCGACCTTATGGTTCTACGGATCTTTATAGTTCATCGAACTGTTTTCGCTTTGTTTTTAGATGTATCCTTTTATAATCTCGAATTTTGTACTTGATAATTCGTTTTCGATTATTTTCTTAAGTCTTGATTCGTTTACCTTCTTCGGCTTAGACCTACTGTAACTTGCAACTTTGCTATGGAATAATTGGAATGTAGTTGTATGTTAGAAATTAGCTTAGCCTTTTTTTGTATTTCATGTTTCAGTTTACGATATGGACTTGGATCCTATGATCACGTTGAATAAACGATTCAAGACTCCTGTCCGTAAAATATTTCCTCGCTTTATAGTGTGTCGTCGCTTGCGAACTCAAGGTCGTTGTCGTATATTGCTTCGCGTGTGTTGGCCGCTATAAGGGTCCTTGCCATTTATATGCGAGGTTTCATTGTAGTGTAAATTGCTCAGAGTAGAGAGCAAGAACCAAATCTAAAGATTCAAAATAGTCAGGGTGACTATTTTGCCAGACTAAACTGTTGCTGAAGAACAAACTAAATGTTAATCAAATGTTTATCACAGTAGTCATGCCACTGTTACTAAATATGTTGTTTTGGTGTTCAGAAATTGACGAATCGCACAGACGTGTTGGACAAGGCACACCTTTCTCCGGATGACAAAGCCAAAACAAAGGATTTATTAGACCTACACAATGCTATCCAGGAGAGTGAAGACAATGAAGAGGGGGGCAGTGATCCACCACCCAGGTACATCAGGCCACTACGCTCAGAGAGGTCAAAGTTAAGAAACATCAATGCTGTTCTTGGCGCCTTTTGTGAAGCTCGCATGTCAAAGAGGCAAAGAAAGAGCTGCTGGGAAACTAACCAAAGAGGTTGATAAATACTTGTCAGACAGACCAGTACCAAATAGCTGCCCCTCATGGGCAGGATGCCAATAATACCAAAGTAGTAAAATGGCTACAGTGATCACCACTATGGCCGGGAGTATAAAGTCCAAAAAATTAACGACGCCGTTCGCATGATGTCCAGAAAATGACCTTTAGCCGAAGCACAAAATGTGATGGCATAGTCGATTCTACATGAGTATAAAATTCTACTTTTCCCCTATTTTTCACTGGTTTAAAACCTATCATATTGTTTTTCTCTTGATCAAGAAAGTATTTAACACTTCTAGTTCACTGGGCAGTAATTCAGTCTTCCCTGCGTTTTACTAACAATGAAACCAAATGAGCGAGAAGCCCTGTAGTGACTTGTGGGTGCCACTTGCATAAAGTTGAAATTTGACGGGCAACAGTGACATACTCTCTTCAGGACTCTGATACACGACCACCATAGCAGAGGTCACTGTAGCAATTTGCTTAAAGTCGCTAATGTATTATTGTGCCTTCTTTAGTCAGGATGAACCTGTGATGATCAGCTTTAACTAAATTACACAGTCTTATTGGAAAGGTGATAAGAGTTCTATTCTTAAAGACAATCTTTACTCGAATGTGTTCATTAAAATTGCTGAAATTCCAGGACAGTCAATGGATTATCCTAAAACTATAAAACAGGGAATGTAAGATAGATGCATTGTGAAAGTGAGTCACTTGTTAAAAGTGCACAGTTTGTCATTATTATTCAAACTCAAATGTAGGCAAATTCTCGTAGACTACTTTGTATGCCACAGCCAGGTCCAAGTTGCAGCCATGCAGTTACAGCAGAGTGGCCAGAAAAAGTGAGATACATGTGTAGAGATGTTGGCTTACACATTTGTATATCAAGCCTATGGCTAGTTTTGTTTGCATCACTATCGTCTTTGTAGCATCAGTCTGATACTCCCCATTGATGGCCTCTCAGCAGTTTGTATAGGCTTTAACAATAATTTTTGGGGATGATCCACCAAGTACTGGTACTTGCTATGGTATGATATGGTATAAGAACTAGGGTATCTAAAAGATAGTAATGCTGCGGCACACTCTGTTGATACTGGCATTAGTTAGGCAGTGGGACTTAAAAGAATCGAAAATGACATTAACTGTCCTATTTACAGGTTGGAACGCACTAGAATAATTACTATCAGTCTATAGAAAGAACTCGTGGGAACGTTGTTTAGAAAATGATCAAGTGGTTATAACTCTGGTTTTCCCACAGTGAAATGTAGGAAATAATAGAAATTCAGATTGTTTATCCATAGATTTAATATACGGTGCACGATATTTTCTCGGAAAACACAATACTTTTCTTTCTCTTTGTTGCACTTTATTAAGTAACAGTTATTTAGCTATATATTTATAGAAAGCAACAACACAAAAAACGGGAAAAAAAAGAAACAAGAAATAAAGAATTCGGTATGACTTGAACCCTTCACCCTCGGCTCGACGCGACTACACCTAACCACTACACCACATAACAGAGGCTGATTACGTAATGTTTGGGAAAAGTCTTTCACTTTACTGCTTTTCAATGAAACTTCCGCCGGCAAGATCATCGCCAGCCGCATTAACCGAGCTATTAACAGTGAAAAAACAATGTAAACGTATATTCCATGACAATGAATGAATGAAAGAACATAATTATGCTTTTCAAAACGCCGATACACGTCCTCGTCTGCAAAGTAAGACACAAAACATATGTTTTGTTATCTCGATTTCCGCTGTTATTTTGTAGCGAATGGTCAAAATCACATCCATTTTCGGCTCATACAGTTTCTTCAGGATAGCACTGCATGACATTTTCTGACTTTCACATCACCTTCTAGCGAGCTGGAATTTGTATATCCCCCGTGCTGCGAAGTCGAAGAGCAAATGCTCATCTTCTCGTCAGGTTTAACACCTGGACGAGTCAAAGGCTCTTGAATTGAAATCCAATACCCAAGTTAACCATCGTACTCATCTGAAAGACTCATGCGTGTCTTAAAATTTGGTAAGACCTCTAACCGAGCTGTAGAAATTTTGCCACAAAGAAAACTCTGAGCAGCGAACGATGCACTCTCTCACCCACCGAACTTCCCCGTGTTTTTATTTGAGTTGTTCGTGGCGCAATGCACTCAGGTTAAATGCAATGCATTGTGGTAAAAAGTGTGGTTAAATGCAATGCATTGTGGTAAAAAGTGATGAATTCGAGAATTCGTCGCCCCTTATATATTTTCTTCAAATCCTGATTATGTTGCTGCTCGCTCCCTTCGGTCGCTCCGCAGCAATTAAGGCAGCAGTTTAGATTTCCTAATGAGATTTTATGCAGTCTTACATGTAACTAAGTAAGACTTTTATTTGTAATATTGTTCTTATTAAATCATGTAATAGTTTTTATAGTCGCAGCCTTTACGCGCTATAGTTTTTAACACACAAACTTTATTCTAGAACTTCTACAACTGGTGCAAGGGAAACAAGTGAACCGATGTGAAGTATAACGAAGTATAGCGAAGTATAGCGAAGTATAGCGGTACTGAAAAATAACAATTAAACAAATGCAAAGTCAAGATAAAACAACCCAAAAACTGAACGGAAGCAATAAGGCAATCTAGAAATGCGAATGAAACAAACGAGATACTTACAAGACGATAGCGAGATAAGGACGAAAACCTAGGACGAGCAAAAACCCAAACATTAAACTGTAACCGGACCAAGCGCAGCTAAACGAAGAACTGACGCGAAAAATTACAATAAAAGCTAAATATACGATATGCAGAAAAATCCTAACACGAAGGACAAAGCTACGCGGACAATGAAAAACTAATGAACCAAACAACAGCACTAAAGGCGCGAACAGGAAAATAACTAAGAACGCGGCGAACATAAAAATACTATAAAGGTAACGGAAAACATTCCTGGCGCTTACATTCCGGCCCCTAAATACAAATCGCTTGTACTTACCTAATATTTTAGAAAAAGGAGCCAGGAACTAGCACAAAAAATTAACTATCGAAAGCAATAATCTTCTTAAACGCCAAACTCCTTAAGCGAAAAATAGTGTCACGAAGGCCTAAGTGCCTCAACAGGCTTCATTGTTCAAACTTGATAGAACATCACGTAAGCTCAGTGAAGGTCACGCAAAGTCTCTTGAACAAATCCGGGAAAACAAGACACTTTCAATGTTCAATTGATTCCAGCAAACATAACTTCGTAATGGGTCGCTCCAAAGTAGAGGTCTTGGTTTTGACTCTTACGCGACGCACGAAACCATCTCTATCTGGGAACACTTCTGTGATTCGACCAATCGGCCACACGTTCCTTGGCGTCGATTCATCAACGATAACCGTGTCTCCAACAGTGAAGTTTCTTCTCGGTCGAAACCATTTCTGGCGCTCCTGCAACGAAGGAAGATATTCTCGTTTCCAGCGAGCCCAGAACACATTTGCCAAATACTGCACTTGACGCCATCTTCTCCTGGAATACGTGTCGTTCTTTTCAAACAGCCCTGGTGGTATAGATTCGTTTTGGCGAAGTAGTAGGAGGTGATTCGGCGTAAGAGGCTCCAAATCGTTAGGGTTGTCGGAGACCTTGGTCAGCGGCCTTCCATTAATGATACTCTCAGCTTCAAACAATAGGGTTTGAAGACACTCGTCGTCAAGGACTTGCTCCTTGGTCAAGGCTCCAAGAATCTTGCGAGTGGATCTGATAAGTCTTTCCCAGACTCCACCGTGGTGGGAAGCCGCTGGAGGATTGAAGATCCATTTGATACCTTCTGTAGAAGGGTGTCGTGAATCTTGGTCTGATTCCAACTTGAGATCATAACGCGAAGTCCCTTTTCAGTTCCCGTCAAATTCGTACCATTGTCTGAACGAATCACTTTAACCTGACCTCTGCGGGCAATAAATCTTCTAAGAGCTAAGATAAAGGAATCCGTGTCCAATGTGTGGGAAATCTCCAGATGGACTGCTCTCAAAGCCAAACATGTGAAAATAGCTCCATATCTCTTTACCAAGCTTCTCTTCTGGCGGACAAGGAAAGGACCAAAGCAATCAATTCCAACACATGTAAAAGGGGGTTGATCTGGAGTGACCCTGGAACGAGGTAAGTCAGCCATTTTCTGTTCTCCAGCGGGGCCATGGCGACGTTTACACTGGAAACAGGACGACAGTACACTTCTTTCCGTTGTGTTGGCTCGAATCAACCAAAATCGCTCGCGCAAGAGGGCTAGCACGTATTCTCTCCCAGAGTGACCACTCTTCTCGTGAAAGAACCTGATAAGCAGTACACCAAGTGGAGAATCCTTGGAGATAATTATCTGATGCCTTGATTCGTCAGGTAAAGGAGCTCTGCTAAGTCGTCCGCCAACGCGAAGTACACCACCAATTAGGACTGGGCTTAATTTTGCAAGGCAGCTTGACTTCTTTACACAGCCTCCTTTCTTGATGGTTTCAATTTCCTCAGGAAATGCATTCCTCTGGTCAAACATAATTAGTTCTCTTTCAGCAAAGTCTAAGTCTTGACAAGACATTGGCTCCAGGCTGAGGGGACCAACATTTCCGTGACCATTCGGGCCAGGCTCTCTCTTTCTTAATCGAAATCTTCTCTGGCAGCGAAGACACATTGCAACAAATTTCAGTAAATTCATCCAGGAGCTAAAACGCTTCACGATACGAACAATGCTTGCATAAACTTTGCTGACGGATACAGCGAATGATTTTGGCTCTTTCTTGCTTTCTTGATTTCCGGATCATTCTCGGTCAGCTCTGCGCTTTCTTGGACATGGTCCGCCCACTCAGACTCGGTTGTTAAAAGAAAAACCGGCCCTTTAACCAACGGCCATTACGAACAAACACGTCTGCCGTAACGCCCCGCGAGGCTTCATCAGCGGGATTGGATTTGCTGTCGATGTATCTCCATTGGGACGGGCTGGATTCCTCTCTGATGAAGGCAACGCGGTTTGCAACGTAGGTATGGAAACGCTTCAACTCATTCGCGATGTATCGTATGACGGTCATGCTATCTGTCCAAAAGGTCACTTTATCGATGGGTATCTGCAACTCCTTCGTCAAAATCTTGTTCAGCTGCACCGATACGGTAGCAGCCGTCAATTCCAATCTGGGGATGGTAGTTACCTTGAAGGGAGCCAGGCGGGACTTCCCAATGAGGAATGAACAGAATATCCGACCTTGCATGTCGACTAAGAGAAGATACGATACGGCGCCATAGGCCACCTGAGAGGCGTCGCAGAAATGATGGATCTGACATGAAGCGATATCCGAGGACTTGACAGGTTTGACGCACCTTTCAATGGCAATTCGGGAAATCTTCGGTAGGTCGTCTACCCACGCTCGCAAGCGGGTCAAGTGAAGATCTGGGACCTCGTCGTCCCACCCCAAACCCCGTCTGCACATATCCTGTAGGAGACGCTTTGCAGGAAGAATGAAAGGAGCTGCCATACCCAGAAGATCATATAACGAACTGACCGCTGAAAGTATGCCACGCCTAGTACACGGCCTATCTTTAATGAACACCTTAAAGCCAAACTGGTCAGCCTCCACGAACCATGACACACCCAAGGCCCTCTCTACTGGGAGCACATCGCAGGTTAGGTCAAGCTCTTAGTTCCTTTCGCTCTATCTTCGACAGGTATGGACTCTAATACCAGGCGATCGTTGCTGACCCATTTCGTCAAGTTAAAGCCTCCTTTATTCATCAGGTTGCGCAGATCACAAACGTGCCTAATTGCTTCATGACTGGAAGGTAGAGATTTCAAGCAGTCGTCGACATAGAAATTCTTCAGAACAGTAGAAATGACTTCAGGTGAAAACTCGTGCTGGTGATCTTCAGCATTTCAACGCATGGCAAAATTGACACAACTAGGCGACCAAACTGCACCGAAAAGATGCACGGTCATTCGGTACTCTTCCAAACCCTTAGCGAGATTACCACCGGGCCACCAGAGAAACCGCAGAAAGTCACGATCCTCCACAGGAACACGCACTTGGTGAAACATAGATTGTACATCTCCCATTACAGCCAATGGTTATTGTCGGAAACGAAGCAGTATTCCAACCAGGTTGTTGGTCAAATCAGGACCCTGCAGCAATTCGCTGTTCAAAGACATCCCTTGGAACTGAGCGGAACAATCAAAGACGACCCTTATCTTCTCAGGTTTCTTGCTGTGGTACTCACCATGGTGTGGAATATACCAGACCCTTCCGTCAGCTCTACACAGATCTTCAGAGGGAACCTTTTCAGCGAAACCTTCTTGGATTACGCTTTCAAGAGATGCAACGTAGTCTTCCTGAAATCTGTCATCTTTAAGGAATTTACGTCTCAGGAAGAGGGCTCTGCGCTCGGCTTGGCATCTATTAGCAGGCAACGTCAAACTTGGATTACGAAAGGGCAAACGAACTTGGTAATGACCATCCTCACACTGCATAACAGAGTTTTCCAAAATGTTCATGAACTTCAGATCTTCACGAGACATTCCTTGGCCGTCATTTAAACACGCATCCGTAAAGTCAGCACGCCACGCACATAGGATGGACGTCAATAGACTTGGTGAGGTAACAAGCAGAAGGGATATATCTTGGCTTCCTTCCTGTTGGGCCATTGATTACCCAACCGAAATCCACCTTACTAGCGTAGGGGCCTTCCTCCGACAGCTGGGATAACGTCTTTCGGTTGTAAAGCTTCTGGGACATCTGACCCAATTAATAGATCAACTTGAGAGTTCAACTCAGTTGGGTAGACGAAGCCTCTAAGGTGTGGCCATCTATGTACATCTTCCTGTTTGGGGACTTCATCCTTAGACACAGGCATAGTCGGTCTGGAATAAACCTCTCTTAATGGGACAACAACATTTTTATCCAAGTCCGACACCACTAAACCGCTGGCCACGACGCTATCAACCTCCTCTGCCGAACCCATCGTAGTTAACGTCAACTTCAAATGCTTGCCTTTAACGCCAAGACGATCCAAAAGCATGTTAGAGCAGAGAGTGGAATAAGAACCCGTATCCACGAGGGCGTAAGTCTCGATGCAAAAAGGACCTTGTGCTCTGACCTTTACTGGTACGATTGGCAAAGCAGTCGCAGGACCCACTGTGGTCGTCAAATTGCAGATTCGCTCTACGCCACTTGACTCGTCACTTAATAAACTCTTCTGATTAACACCTTGCTGGGATCTGTTCTGATCTTCCTTCTCTCTGGCTCTAGCAGGTTGTTGACTCGCATTCTCAGATGTCGGCTGCTCGTGCTTATCTTCTGAAGAATCAGAGTGCATAGGCGAAGCATGTCTTCCATTACAGTGTGAACACGGCTTCTTCTTGTAGCATCCCCTTGATTGATGACCCCCTCTCAAACACGAGAAACAGAGTCTTTGCTTCATCACAAAGTCGTAACGCTCACGGAGGGGAATTTTAGCAAACGCTGGATCGAGAGATCTTCAGACTTCTTCTCCTGAGACTTGTTTTGATCCATGGGACTCTTCTGAGATGAAGCGGAGAAGTTACTAAGCTCTCTAGGACCAGGCCCAGAACCCTCGGGTTTTGATTTCGTCCCTCGTGTCTGGCTCTTCCTCTTATCCTTAGCCAAGAAGGCAAGTTTTCCGAAGATTGGATTACTTAGGGCACGTGACTTCTCCTCAACGAATGACGCAATGTCTTCGATACAAACTTCTCTCTTGTCCGCATTGAGGATACGATCAGCATTGTCCCGCCCCGCCAGCTACTCTGCAGTTTAGGTGGCAGTCTCTCGGTAATCTTTCTCATGTTGTCCGGACCTTCAATCTTGTTTAAGTATCCGATAGCCTTCAGTGTATTTGTGCAACTTGACAGAAGAATTGAGAAACCCTCCAGTGACTCGGCGTCCTCAGCTTTGATGTAGGGACCATGTTAGCTGGTCGACATAAGCCATCGCGATATTGTGCTTTTGGCCAAATCTAGCCTCCAACAGCTTCTTCGCCTTAGAGGAGCCTTCTCCTGGGTTTAGGTACATACAACTCCGCACGATCTCCCGCGCTCTTCCACTCGTATGCTGCTCAAGATAGTACAGTCTCCCACAGCTATCACTCTCGTTACTCTCGATTACAGTCTCAAAGGCACGCATAAAGGTGCAGTAGCTGAGTGGATTCCCGTCAAAGATAGGCACCTGCCTTCGGGGTAGCGTGTTTTTCTGCTGCTGATTCACAAACTCCTCCATGACACGATTCTGCTGTTCGAGGATGTGAAAGGCTTGGTCACTAAGGCCAGACTGCTCATCAGAGTCTTAACTGGACTGACTTGGAACCTTGTGTTTAGTCTTGTGTTCTTTAGGTCTGAAATTGGCACCATGGAAGACCGGAGATGAATCGTGCTTTAAATCTCCAGAAAAACCATCAGAAATGGCCGCCGCGCGCGGATCCACGCGAGGAACGCGAGAGGTGAGCGAGGAAGACGCGATACGCGTGTTCCTTTCTGAATCAGCTTTCGCATACACGCTTTCCCTGGCCACTGCTTTCTTAAATTCCGTTTCAAGTTTTAATTGATCCCTTGTAAACTTGAGATCAAGTTCTTCCTTTTTGAGCCGTAATTCAGATTCGTTAATGAGCTGACGCTGCTTTAGGGCGTGTACTTCGGCTTGAAGCTCTGCAATTCTCGCAGCTTCTTTTGCCCTTGCAACAGAAATGGAACTAGCTCGAGAAGATCGGCTGTACGCCGAACCACATCTAGATCGTTTCCTGTTCCTTAACAGGAACGATGTCTGTGAGACACTGTCATCGCGAGTAACATCAAGGTCTTGAATCCGGATCTCCGTTACACGCAACCAGTCGTTAACCGTGTGACAGAAGAAATTCAAACTCGACTCAATGTCAGTGAAGTAAACTACTGATTCCTGTCTTTGGCTCTCATCGATTAAGGCAGCATTATACTCCTCGTGTGCATCTGTAAATCTTTGAAAAAGGGAAGTAATCTCTGTCAGTTTCACCTTGACTGCTTCAACATTGTTCTCATCCGTTAATAAGCTGTCAATTTCTTTACGCTTGGCCGTCAAGGCAGAGAGCACTCTGCCTCTTCTCTTTCTAAGTTCTCGGATTCTTTCCATTGTAACTGCTTCTTGATACAGTGAAGAATTAGGCTTCCGCGAACGGGTACTTGAACGACGAACACTTTGACCATTTTTCCCGGCGGAACACGACAAATTGGCTTCCTGAACCACATGAGACATCGTCCAAAATCCAACAACTCCCGTCTTTACGAATATAGTCGCAGCCTTTACGCGCTATAGTTTTTAACACACAAACTTTATTCTAGAGCTTCTAAAACTGGTGCAGGGAAACAAGTGAACCGATGTGAAGTATAACGAAGTATAGCGAAGTATAGCGGTACTGAAAAATAACAATTAAACAAATGCAAAGTCAAGATAAAACAACCTACAAACTGAACGAAAGCAATAAGGCAATCTAGAAATGCGAATGAAACAAACGAGATACTTACAAGACGATAGCGAGATAAGGACGAAAACCTAGGACGACTAAAAACCCAAACATTAAACTGTAAACCGGACCAAGCGCAGCTAAACGAAGAACTGACGCGAAAAATTACAATAAAAGCTAAATATACGATATGCAGAAAAATCCTAACACAAAGGACAAAGCTACGCGGACAATGAAAAACTAATGAACCAAACAACAGCACTAAAGGCGCGAACACGAAAATAACTAAGAACGCGGCGAACATAAAAATACTATAAAGGTAACGGAAAACATTCCTGGCGCTTACAGTTTTGCTGTAAACTACTTCTTGGAGTTATTTTTGAAATGGAAATGCACATTACTTACAATAATGTTAGTTAATTAATTATTACACAGTCAAACCTCTTTAATCCTGACACCAAAGGGACAGAACCAAGTGTCCGCTTTACAGAGGTGTCCGTATTATAGAGGTAGGGAATGTATGATTTTTGGCATTTCTGGGACCAAACAAACTATCTGTCTTATAGAAGTGTCCATAAGTAGAGGTTAGACTGTATAATTATTCTGTTAATTTAATTATTTCAAGGAAAAAATTTTGAATTTTGTCAATTCTAAAAGGATTATTTAATAGACCATTTCCGAGTTCCCCCGAACCTCTGTTTCAAAACGAGGGTAGGTGCTCAGCTCTTGATATTTAAATCCTTTTTCATTCTCATGCAAATAAAACTCATTTTCACAAGAAAGGTTTCGCACCTAGCCTCATTTTGAAAGTGAGGGTTTTTGGAACTCGGAAGTGGCCTATTGAAATGGAAAAGTTACAGTTTTGGATATAGAAAATAGAAATAAATTGTAAGGAGTCTCTTTTTTATTGTGAAAATATTTAATATTCATATGTACATATTATATGAAAATGGACAGAGAATTATTTTAATAAAAACTTCAATACCAAAAATGCACCTAAATATGACTCTTGTTGATCTGTGTGTATCAGCGAAAATGGGTCATTGTGGATGCAAGAAACGGTCCAGGGTTGTCTCACAAACGTCCACTTTTTTAAATACCGGATGGAATGAACATATGATTCGAAACTGGATGGTTAAGTAAAGATAACACATTTAGAAAATCCAGTGAATTATCCACCGAAAGTGGAATCTGAGGAAACATGAAGGCTGCAGAAAGTAAACCTATCAAACTGAGTTTCCGAATTCATTGTTCCGGGAACTCCGCGGATAATTGAGTATCCTCTGAATTTACGAGCTGCGGAAACATGACGGCAGTTAGCGTTTCCGCAAGAGTAAACCTGAGGGAAACGCGAGTATAAGGGATGCGTTTAAGCGTGTCCGCAGAAACTGAAACATGACGTATACACGTGTTTCCCGCAACGGTTAGTTACAATTCCGTCTGCGGATATTCAGGTTTCCGTGAGGTAACCGTTACAAAAACGGAAACGGAAACACCTTTTTTCAACCTGTGTCAGGATCCGAACCGTTCCGACTCCCCTGAGGGATACCACATCAAAAGAGGGGCCTTGCTTGTTGGAGATCCATGTCTGAAACAAGTTACCTCAAGAAGTTGTAAGCCCGTTTACGCCCAGCTGTATTACGCCAGAAAGGAAGTAGAGATGATAGGAGAAGTACTAAAGGTCAAGCCACTAACCGGAAAAGAAGCTACCAAACGCGCGGTGCTCGAACAAATCACTTCAGTTGCATTAATTCACATTGCAGCTCACAGGAGAAAGGAAACCGGGGAAATTGCTTTGGCCCCAAATCCTGGGTATACGACCGAGGTTCCTAAAGAGCCGGATTATATTCTAACAATGTCCGACGTGCAGGCTGTTAAGTTGCGAGCACGACTTGTTGTACTCAGCTGTTGTCATAGTGGTAGAGGTACAGTCATGTCTGAGGGCGTGGTTGGTATGGCACGGGCTTTCTTGAGTGCTGGTGCTCGCTCTGTTCTTGTGTCACTCTGGGCCATTGATGACGAGGCCACAATGGAGTTCATGAAAAGTTTCTACAAGCATTTGAGATATGGAGAAAGCGCCAGTGTTGCTCTTCACCAGGCCTTGAAATTTCTGCGAGAATTGGACAAGTTTTGTGCCCCCGAAGTACTGGGCCCCATTTGTACTCATTGGCGATAACGTTACTATTGAATTTGGAGAAAATAAATAAAGGAGATGCAAAGATATTAACTGATCATATGTAGAAACCAATTAGTATTTCAGTCTAAAGACTGAAGTCGTTAAAAGACAGTGTAGACAATGCAGTGTAACTTGTATTAAGCAGACACTCACAGGACTTTCGCTGGTGTCCTTAATAAAGAAGACCTCTAAGTACAAGTTTGCTAAACAGAAAAAATGGGAAGAAAAGTTGAGGCAACCTGAACCATTCGCCCGCTTAATACGTGTAGATTCACAATCGAGAATCTAAGAGGTCGCTGGAATAATAATAATAAGTTGAGTGTTTTTCCTTGCGAGACTAAGTTTTATAATTTTCCTTATCTGAATTTAATCACTTGACAAGGTAAAAAAAAATGTTACTTAGCTTGGTATAACGAAAATATCCACGACATGGGTGAGGGGTGAAATTACAGTCAATTATCAATGGTTGAATGTAATTGAAATGATTGGAAGTAATAGTTGATGCAGATAGCTGTAACGTACTGTCTGGCCAGGTTATGGATGAAAGAACAGAAAAAATGTCCTCTTTACCGTAGATAAAGCGGCTCGGAAGTCAGATACAACACGCCACTGGCTGACGGTATCACTCAATTACTGACCTCATTCACTGTGACCACATATTAACAGAGTCAGGCGTAGTCCTCAGCTCCCGGGGAGAGTGACCTCTATTCTTTACGATCAGCAGTGTCGGTTCCTTCACGTCAGTTTCGAATCAACAACTGAAAAGACAACGCCAACAGCTTGACGACACCTTTCAATGTTTTCCATCATTTCGTCTTTTATCACCCTGACAGGATCGACAAACTATTTGCGGTCAGCGGAGAGAAATGGCTTTGTTTTCTTTGACGTGTTGAAAGAAAGGTGAAATGGTTCAAATTATTTACAGCTCTGAAAGGCACTCCCACGACCACGATACAAAAGTTTCGCGCATTTGATGCCAAACAACCCACCTATGCTGAAGGGTAGCCACGTTAGTTTGTTTCTTTTTTTATAAATATTGCCACTTTATTTTCACTCTTTATCCATCATCATTGACTATTTTTTCATTATCATCAATTTCTTCGTGCACGTCACGAGAGACGCCATCTTTGGCAATAAAGGCTGCTCCGCGCATTGTAGGCTAAGAAAGTTTACAACTGAATCTCTCATTATCGCATTTTTGTTTCATAAACATGAATTTCCAAAATAAAACGACCGTTTTTACTGCGCTTTTCACAAACACGCCAACTCTAAAGTTCAAAAGCCGCCTTCACAAATGAGTTTTTTGCTTCCGTCAATCATAACTACGATCAAAAGCAGCGAACCTTGAAACACACAAACACACAAAAGCGATTGAAATTCACCAACCACAGATCACAAACAATGACCTTTTGAACCTGTTAAGTAAAGTTTTGTGTCCTAAGAGGTCCGCTAAGATCATTGACGGCAGCGAAAAACGCAAACTTCAGTTGGCTTTTGAACTTCAGAGCTCGCGTGTTTTTAAAAAGCACAGTAAATTAACACATACAATGTTCGTCGCATTCTCCGTCGTTCCACAGGGTAGAAGGCTTTCATTATTTTAATGACACTGGAAAAATTCCTTATTCTGGTGCAATCCAGTTAAATAACTTCAATTAAGGCCACTTCATAACCAAAGAAAACACCCTAAAAATAGAAATCACCAGGATTACCAGGAAGCAGAGAATAGTTTTACTTTAAAACACGAGGAAAGATGCATTTTTTAAACAATCCCTTGTTTAGTCTTGTTTTAGTGAATCGCTGGCGAGTTGTAAATCACCGTTGGTCCACAGAAATCCGATTTAGGATCAGTCTTACAAGTCAAATGCTAATGTTTAATATAGAGGTTTTGGCTCAATGGTTAGAGAATCTGATCTAGGACTCGAAGGTTCATGAATTCTATTCTCAACTGAGGGGGTGGGAATTTTTTCTGATTTTTCTAGTGATTTATTTCTTCTTCCAAATTAATCTCCCAGACCCGAGATGTCGAAAACGTGGATAGCGTAATTCGTCACTTTTTAACGAGAAGGGAACTGGAACCGAAATACGTACCGCAAGTGTTTGTGGGATCATTACTGGGAACACGCCGGTCAGCTATTATACAATTTTTCCCTGTCCTTAATAACAGTACCAGAAGTCTTTGCGAAAGTTAACTCAGCTTCCTTCTCGTTCTTAAAGTGGCAAATTGGTTTCCCAAAGACTTATCCACCGGGGGTGTCTGCGTAAGAGGCTATGACGGTTCACCATGGGGTGTCTGCGTAAGAGGCTATGACGGTTCACCATGGACGTCTTGACGTCCAAGTCAAAACCACGCCAAATAAAATCAGATTCATTCAGGACAGTGTTTCTTTTTCCTTCTTTCTCTGAGACCGTAAGCCGATGCCAGTAGTTCTCGCAGTTCAAACATGGGGGATTTCAAGCCTCAAAGAGGTCAGAAAGTGGCGTTGGCGTGAAGAGGAAGATGGAATAGTCCTTTTTTTCTTCCTATTTGCTTTTCGCACTACTCTCCATTTCCTCTCTTTACTTACCCCGTTGACTGCAAAAGCACGCATCAACACCGGAGTTAGTCCCTTATATAGACTAGCGAAGCTTTCATTTCTAACCTAGAAAATGATTAAATAACCAAGTTAGCCCAAAATACAGATTTTACCGCAACTCATTATGTGTCAAATTTAGTGTTCTACAACACCTGAACAAATTCAAGAGCACTCCTTAGTGGAGAGTCACTTTCTATTTAACAAATAGATTCCATTTGGCCGTGCGTCCGTTCAGTTTTAGATCACAGATGACGTCAAAATGTGGTAAGAACAGAAAAGTGGCCCACGAGCCGATAGGCGAGTGGGTCTGTGATCTATAACTGAACAGACGCACGGCCAAATGGAATCTATTTGTTTTATATAATAAAACAACAAAAATAAATAAAAGCGTTTTTATTTCGAAAGAAGATACAAAGCACGGCCGTGATGGGTTTTTCCGACCGCGAAGAAAGTGATTTGACGTCATTTGTTATCTATACAAAATGGAGCAAACTGATTGGTTGCTGGGTGCAGCAACGAATTGTGATTGGCTAAGGAAATAACGCCACTGTCAAAACTTAATCGAGAAGTTCGCCTTTCGTGGAACAAAACATCACAGCGAAAGCTCAAATTCGATTCGGAAATCTTGAAATGTGTTGCAAAATACTGCTAAAACCTAGTCAGTTATGCCCATCAGAGCGGCTCTGAAGCCCGAAGAACACTTGCACACGGCCTTGAATATTGCAGTTGTTGAAAAAACCGCTCGGGAAGCTTGCTGATGCGGACGACATTGACACACTGGAAGCCATGCGATTCAAGCTTTCAATTAATGGTGTAGCTGATGGAGTGCTGGAAACGGTAGAAATTTGTGTACTTTGAGTTTGGTTGTACTGAAGAGCATTGGAGATTGTGTCGGATACACTTTCCAGCTGAGGTGCCGATGGCCTGGCGCTGTAGTGTGAGATGCTTTGCTCGCTGCTACGCCCGGAGACGAACATTATATGGCGGTCGGGTACATTCCAGGGGCACCCAACGAGAATATAGTTCAAAACCACTTAAACATAGCACTGTTAAGCGTATTTTAGTATTTAAACGGTAGATATAGGCATATTTTTATCCCCTAAAAATTTTTCATCTGTTCGGATTTCCTAGCTGAAAGTCTAGTGATCCAAAAATTTTAGCGATCAAAATTTACCTTTTCGAAAATTTCAGCCAGAAAAAAGGCTCCCGAAAATTCTAGGTGACCTTTTTGGGGTAAAAATCAGTTAAAAATAGGCAATTATACCATTTTTTTGATGTTCGAAAATCCTAGGAGAGGTAGGCAAGCAAGAAATTTTACAGCAAATGTTCCGAAAATTCTAGATCTCAAATCGTCTTCCGAACAGATATTCTTCCGAAAATTGTCGTTGGGTGCCCTGACATTCGCATCGGAAAGCACGGTTATTGCTGAAGCCCGGACGGAATGATTGGTGTACACTTGAGAGAGATTCGCTCCTTTGGATATGATCTTCATCATGTCTCCCAGCTTGTTCACGTCAAGTGGGCTGTTTTCATACCACACGATGTCTTCTGTGGTGAATCTGGCTTTTGGTTTTTGAAAGAACCCTGGGCAGGAGGGATTCAACTTAGACACCTACAATTTGAGACTGGCAATGCATCATCGTCTGCTCCAGTGCTATAAAGCCTTGTTTCTCGCTGAGGGCTTGCTGGTTTCACCACCAGGATGGTTTTTTGTAGCTTCTTCGTGGGTCATAACTGCGTACTCGCGGCCGTTTGCATCTTTGGTGAATTTGAAACTGTCGCGGCGAAGATCTCGCTGTACCTCCCTTCCACGCCTGCACCAGTACAGAGAAACGTAAAACCAAGTTCTCCTTAGCAATGCGGCTGGATTTGTGACACTGAGGAAAGGGCTGGCTCTTATCTTTGCGAGGTCTGAAGGTACGATAACTGGTTTATGTTGAACGTTTCCCTTGCCGGCGCGGCGGTTGATTCGTAGCTTCGCGTCCAGAATTTTGTTACTCTTTTGACACACTTGGTTCCTTGAAATTTTCACTGTACGGCCATTGTTGTTTAGGTATCTTTCAACTGAATTCCGAAAACCAAGAAGTGCTGAGCGACTGTATTCTTCACCTTTTTTCGTTCTCGCTTCCACGTAAAACCTTGCTAGGTTTAAGTCTAATTCTGTTGTATTCATTTTAAGGAGAGGTGTTGTGATGCTTCTTGCTTGACACCAATCTGTGTAAACAATTATTTTGAGACTGTATAATGCTGAGATTGTCTAATAAATCAATTTCTTTAAATTTCTGCTTTTTGTGTTACTTAAATGCGAAGCCAAAAAATAGTTTGTTACCTTGAAATAATTTTACGACCCATTTTGTGTTTCGTTTTGTCGCGAGCGACTGAGATTGCTCCAGAATTTTTTCCAAGTCATTCTCCACGTAGAAACGTGTCTTTTCTTCTTCTTCCTTTTGGAATTTATCAACTGCCTCGACAAGAGTTATTTCTATCTCCTCGTTCGCCCAGTCCGGCAAAATATTTTCCAAAGTTTCAAAATTGTCCGCCATTTTGAAAAAAGACAATTTTTTTCCTTCGGCTGATGACGTCAATCGTGCATCTGTCCTCTAATAGATCATAAGAAAGGACCAATCAAAATGCATGAATTACTGACTTTATTATATAAAAGAGTATTTGCAATAGAGTAAGGCGCTGTTCCCCCCATGTGCTCAGGTTTACAAGGGAGCTTAGGAAACGACGACGACGGCAGTGAAAAAGAAAAAAAAAGAAAAAAAAAAAAAAAAAAAAAAGAAAGAAAAAAAAGTGAATATGCCTTCTTTCAAACTTTATCGAGTCTATCAAGACCCTCTTATTTTGTCGAATGCGACTGTATGCAGGGTTAAAAGATAAAGGAGAATTCGTCGTCGTGTTTTCACGTCCTCCATTTCAAGTTTCACGTCCTGTCGCACACTGGACGTCAAAGAGGTAATATATCAAGCATGAGATGCAGTGTTTCATCACCAGATGAAACACCGAGAAGAGAGTTGAAAATACGACGCGCAGCGGAGTTTTTTGACCATCTGGTGAGGAAACACTGTTTTTGATCTGATGATGAAACAGAGTCGAATGCTTGATATTACTTTTCAAACAAAATGATTTTAGAAAGAGAAATTAAGGATGCAAAAATGAGCAGTTTTTCATCTGATTTCCAAACACTCATTGAACATTGTTTTTCCTTTGTATTTTCTTAATGAATTATTAATGAGTTTGAGAAGTGTGAATCAAAGGATGTTGCACGTGCAGAGCTGTTGTTTTGCTCTTAAAACCAATTGTTTTCTTTTTTCACGTTGTCGTCGTTGTGGTTCCAGACAAGCAAACAAACAAGCAACAAATTGACCACAATTTTCTATATTGACTACACTACCATAGCTTATAAGAGTGACGTCAAAATGTTATAAATGTTCTCAAGTGATCAACAAATCAGCCACGGCCTGTACACAGCAAACTTACTAGTGCTATAAATGCATCTCTTACGCCTCTAGGATACTTTCCTTCGGGAGCTAAAAAAGAATGGTCGAGGAAGAAAATCAACCACGGAGGAAGAATAAATATAAGTCTATAACATTCTCTGCAAACAGGGAGTCTCTAAAGAGTTTGTGCAAGGGACAATTGTTTCACTTTAAGATAAAAGACAAGACTTGCAAAGGAAGAAAAACTGTTAAGTTTAACAAAGGGCAAAGAACAACGAAAGAAGATAAGTCTTGAGGAAAGAGCATAACGAGGCTGGTTACAAAAAAGGAATTCTAAAACGTTTCACTGAACATACCTACAATTGTAGCCAGGGTCCGTTCATAATTACGACCCCGTTATAACCAGGACGAAATTTTAACGATATGTCGTAAGGTCTGCCATTACTTATTCAATATCCACAATTCAATTTGAAGATAAACGCACGATATGCCGTAATGTTGTTGAAACTTCTTTCCGTCAACGGAAGAGCAAAGAAAAAGCTTCCCTAGAAAATTACAGAGCCCGGTTGACTCACTGAGTCTTGCCTGTCCTCCAAATGAGCACAGAACAACGTAGGCCCATATGCAAGAACTAGCAGGTGAACGGAGGAAGAACGCTCAAACAAAAACACTTGCGGACGTTCCATGATAACAAAACTTCGGGCGAAACGTTCGACTCGTGGACGCACACGAATACGTATGTGCGTTTCAATGAGTTACCTATTTGTACACGTGATTTCAACACAACGGCGGGAAGAATGGAGAACCAGCAGATCATGCCTGTCGTACCTTATAAGGTAAAAACACACACAAACACATCAATGAAATTAACCCGAGGTGGAAAAAGGCAACACAACTATTTTCGCTATGCCATAAGAAACCAGTGTAGGATTTTGAATTTCTGGGGTAACGCTGTTTAAAATATCAGCCTAACAGGTCCTTCGCTTCTCATTTCCTGTTTCGGAAGTTGGCCCCAGCGCCAAGGACTTTTATCCACTGCAGCGCGCCAAATTTACAGAAGGAATTTTCCTCCTGTGAGTTTTACCCAATCAAGAACGGTTTTACTATTGGGCCGTCAATCAAACAAGATCACGCCAGATGAAACGTGACTTGAACTATTTAACTATTTATAAATACAATTGAGCTGTGCATTTTGTCGGCAAACATTATTGGGAACTGCAACGCACACAAAAGATTTAGTGGGCGTTTTTTTGCTCCATTTTAGTATTTACCAAGGCCAGTTTTACCTGGCAGCCACGAGTAGGAAAAACATTACCGACTTGTTTTGACAAACTTTGGCACACGCGTCAGGGACGTAAATAGTTCGCGCCAAAATGACAGGGGAAACAAGTTGAGCTCCCGCTCTCTCGCTAGACTTTCTTAAAGTCCTTCGCTTCTCATTTCCGGTTTCGGTAGTTGGATAGAAAATCTACCGCTCGCGCCTCGCGCCCGTGAAAAAATATGAGCTTGACTTGTAGGCAAGTCTACTCTCTTGCTCACTTTTCCTTCAGAAAAGATAAAAAATCTACCACTCGCGCTTCGCGCTCGTGAAAAAAAATTGAGGTAAATTTGAGGGCAAGTCTACCTAACAGGCAGTGTTCAAACTTGTTGGGTTCGGAGTCCAAGGAGCAAGGTTTTTGAGTTCAGTTCTAGCACACTGCAATACCCAAAAAGAGGAAATAAATCCTATAAAGCTAAAGCTAATCAGTAGTATAGATATAATTAAATTATGAGCAGAAAAAGTATCAAAATCGCATTTATATCTGACCGTTAGGGGGAAAAGGTTATTCCCTTTCTCTGGGCAGTTGGTGGTGTTTACCAAATACAGTTCCTAGGTGTCAAAATAAAATCTGTATTTTTGTTTTGATAAAGTGCTGCCAATTATTAACAATCCTTTAACAACTTCAAAGCAAGCGTTTGCAAACTGTTTTGATACTTAGGACCATTCCCATTCTTAGGGTTACGACTGATTCTCCTTCTCTTTTTCTTGGATTATCTTTACATAAGTGAACAAACAAAACATACCTCCGGCAAGGATATACCTGAGCGGGTTTAACTTTTCACGGCTAGAAGGAAAAAAAGAGACAGAAACTAATAGGAATCATGCTCAAAAGTAACAACTTCACATCTCGATGATATCCAAAGATGCATTCCATCGTTTTTCGGCATGGGTGCAAGTCAGGGAAGAAAAATAATCAAGATTTACTTATTGTTTAGCCATAAAAACTGATTTGAGTTCATTTCGCGAGAATCTCAGTGGGGACTTCATATGAACAGGGAGCTTAAGCGGGGAGGTTTTTGAGCGACGCACATCAACCTTACTGAGTGGACATTTTGAATTCTTCGGCAGTGGTTTCGCCCATTTCTTTCCGGCAAAGCGTCTTTATTAGAGTAAAAACACTTTGCATTGCAAACATTAAAAGAGACAAGGCTTCACTTCAGTTTGACACGTACCGCTCAGAAACGCCTGTGCTTAAGCTCGCTAATACTATGACAACGGCGGGCAACGATGATGTTTTGCTCATCTATAACAACGTGCACGGGCTTAAGCTCCGTAATACGACGACAACGGCGGGCAACGATGACGTTTTGTTCATCTATAACAACGTGCACGGTTTCAGGCTATGGGTGATTTACCCGACCCATACATCGGGAGTATCTTCAAGTCCTACATTGCAGGGCAGCTTTGGTTCTTTCTGGCCAGATAGAGACCAGGGAACGGCTTGACCGGCTTCAAAAGGCGTTTACGGTAAAATTTCCAGGGGATGTGGGCTTATTACTTCAGTATATTGCGTATACCTTTCTCCCTCTAAGGTGATTTTGCTAAGAATCCATTCAAATCCCGTTGAAGTCCTGAATTTTTTTTTCAGGCTTCTTTACGCAATTGCATAAATTGCGTTCACTGCGACGATCATTTCTTCATTTTCAATCCATTCATAGCTAAAGAAATAGCAACCCATTCCAGGAATATCTGCAACAGACATTCACAAAATGTGTTCAAGTAACTAAAAAGGGCAAAAAAAGAACGAGGCCAATATTCAGCCATTTTGACAGAAAAAGCTTGCTCAATAAACGTTTTATTATATGGCCAAAAGGAAAACGTATCAGAGGGATCAACGCGGGAAATCCCGAGAGGGCATAGGCTCATCGTGCCCGCTCATGTAGCCAATCAGAAAGCAGGCTTCGCTTCATCTTAACCGCTCATGGATTCAGCGATATAATAAGTATGTGTAATCAAATGGTGACGAGTGAAATTATTCCCTAATTTCACGCGTATACCATTTGATTACCTATTAATGTCATGGGTGACGAATTACGTTAGCAATCTTGGATTTTTGACATGTTTATACTGGATTGTGTCGATCGAGAACTCCACTCTCTCGAACGTTTAGAGACGTTTAGCTGGCCGCACGTGTTTGTCCTATCCCGTTCTATCCCATCCCGAGCCGGTATTTTTGTAGGCATACCTTCCACCACTGGGCAAAAAGGCACATATTCGCGACCGACTTTGCCCGAATACAGATAGGTACACGTGGAGTATACGATAATATCCTGAAGTATTCAAGGACGCATGACGCGACGTACAGCTAGAATATTCTACTTAGAATCCGGACTGTTTTTCCGAATTCAAATAGAATACCCTGGAATACTAAGAAGCATTCTAGACGGCATACTCCCGACTCCTTTTCTAAAACGATCAATTTTGACCAGTTTCGAACAATGATGATCATTTGTCATTGGAACATCTTAGTATGACCACAAATTTTCGAGTCCGCATACGACGCGAACACGACAGTGACGAACGGTATACCCGACGCGAACACGCCCGAATACTAACGCGCACTAAAGGCCATGACTTTGCGGAACTTGGTATTCTGCAGTATTCAAAGTAGAACAACTACGAACACTCTTCGTGTCCAAGAATATACGATCGCGAGTATCAATGCTTATATCTGGTTCCTGAAATTCAGTTTGCATATTCTTGAACACGAACGTGTTTTATGTTTTACTGAATGTTTACGCTTTTGGGTCGTTTGATGGTTTGGTCTTATAGGATTCCCCTCTCACATGGGGTCTATACTTAGATCTATCTACGCGGATTACAGAAGTCTCCTTTTCGACAAGCCTCCATCGCAGTCGTTCTTAGGGCTTCGCAACGCTCTCCTTAGGGAAGGGACACGTGAGGAAGCCCTAAGAACGTCTTTGTGGACTACTTTTTGTCTCGCGCAGTTCAATGAAGGAAGACATTGTAATTATCAGCCAACAAAACTTTATTTAATAGAAAACATTTTAGTCATTTATACAATATTTACAATACTTGTAAGTTGAAAACGTTGCTTTCTCATTCGGGGATTCCATTAACTAAACGGTTTGTTATTACTACCAAGAACTCTCTTTTTAACTATTTGTAAAAAATGCCATTTAAAATTTTGTCCTGGATTTTCATTTGCCACTGATTAAAAGTTTCCTCTTGGATAATTGCAAAAAGAGATGACATTGTCTCTTTAAACCTTAAAAGAAACAAAATTTCTTAAAAACAATCCAAGAAAGCTCCAGTACCGAATGGTAATCATTGCCTCGCAAATCATCTTTAGTTTACAAATGCATGCACTTACGCCGTTGATTTGAGCCCCTCTTAGGAACTGTTTGTAATGGAGAGCAAATCAAAGGCTGATGTAAAGGATTTGTGCTGAAAGGGCCAGCAATAGCGTGATAGCCAAGTTCGTTGTTAATATAGTGTTCCACATGGTCGGCGAAATCAGCGGCGGAGGGATGATTAGAGGACGAAGAAGTGGGAAGATTCTCGGCCGTATAACTCACGGGCCAGCCAAAGCGCAGGAAATCAACGACATGAGCATCGTGGTAGCTTTGTAAATAAAATTCCCAGGCGGATATGTTCAGCTGAGTTATCACCGGTAGACGCGCTTCAAAAGCGTTGGGATACTCCGATTTTGAGACCAAAAGGTGTTAAATCACTGCTGTTGTAGCAAAGTCATCAACAGATAGATTGAGTTTCGTGCCAGGGATATCCGTAAGGGATAAGTCCGTAGAAATAGCCGAGGTCGAAGAAGGGGAGAAGCAGTCCGTAGTTGTGTTGGAGCTCGCGAGTCAAGATGACTCCGACGAAGTGAAGTTAACTTTGGGGATGGGAGTACGTCGCTTAGCACAACGGAGCATAGGATGGTCTTTGGCACAAACTCGACATTTATGATGCCCTGAATACGACGAACTCGCGGTATCACACGAGCAAGAACCAGTGTAGTTCCATTGACGACAAGCCTTGCCCTGTGTAGCGTCAGACTTCGAAGATCGAGTGTTGGTATCACCAGAAGGGGATCCGCCCCCAGCCGAAATAGTTGAGCGTGGCTGAGGGGTTGAAGTCCGTAAATCTGAATGCTTAAAGAAAATCGTGGCTGCATCACGAATCTGAGTGGCATCGTTGAATTCCAGGCGACACAACTCGACCTGTTTCGCGATGTGAGCGTAAAAACCTCTTACGCTCTTCCAAGTGTAGCTGGAAGCTTTGAGCATAGGCAATTCGAGGAGCTGGAGCATGACCTCTTTGCGCGTGGCCTCGTAGGGCTTGATCATTTTTAGAAAACCTGCGACAAAGTCGGCCAGCTCCAAGTTCTCGAAGTCTGATGTTGGCGCACCAGGACAAAACTCGTGGGGCCAGTCGAGTGTCGCTTCTCTCCCTCCGAAAGCGACGACCGGAAATGCGTCTGCGGTTCGCAGGCTAGTCGATTGTACGTTTTTTTCTTTCCTTACCAGATTTGGAAGGGTCCGCTCCATCAGTAAACTTGGTCTCCGCGGCGGCGGTACGAAGCTTAAGAACCTCGAGTTCCAGGGCTAACTTATCTCGCTGGAGCTGGGCGAGGTGAAGCTCGGAGGAAATTGTTTGAGCTGTAAGGTCTGCAGGCTGAGAGGTCGCAGGAGACTCGGTCATCTGCCGTAAAAGAATGGAAGAGCGACCGGGCGACGAAGGAACCTGAGAAACACGCGGTGATAGTCCAGAGGCAGCGAGCTCGCGGTCCAGTTGGTCAATACGCTGTTGGACGTAGTCGTACTCGAAGTCGGGGTCGACTTTGGGTTTAATTTTTCTGCTTGTACGACGCAAAGGGAGAGAAGAACTAGCTGCTTGACCCATGAGATTGTCGGAATATGAACCAAAAGCGGTTCGAACAGATCGACTAGAGATTACGACTGAAATATAAGCCTGGTGATGACTCGATTAAATGCGGCGTGTCACAACATTCAACAATTAACTATCATCACTTAGGAAATGATTTACACAAGTACTCGCGTTGTGACGTTAAGGTTACGTCAGCGATAGAACGCCAATCAAATGTCCACAGCTACACGCGCGGTATGTTTGATCACCATTTTGACAGCGTCTTCAGTTCATTTCGAAAAGTTCTTTGTCAGCTTGGCCCTTGGTTTTCGTTGTCTTTAGACTCGTATTTTATGGTTCAATCGTGGCTACAAGCAGTCCTGCTGAAGAAAGACAGCTTTTCCTGATGGAAAACATGAACAGGAGACTAGATTCTATTTTAGAGAGCCAGAACAAACTGAAAGAAGCAAACGCAGCAGTTCAGCAAGATAACGTAACTCGCAAAACGGGAGCGACTAAATAACAGCAAACGCGGCTCAAAACTGTCACGCAGAGAATCTAAAGGAGAAGTTCCAATGGATTTAAGGGTAGGTTTACTTTCTTGTTGCTTTGATGATATAAGAAATGCTTTTGATCGTGAGAGTTTGTGCTTATTCTTTGGAGCTGAACTGATAGCGTGTCTTCAAAGGCGCCGACTTGCCTGCGTTGTATCAAACATCACAGGAACCTACAACTTAGCTTAAAGCGCCCAATTTTTGAGGGACAATGTTAGTCTTTGAAGTGGGGCATATTTATTTCTTCTTTAAACAAAACGAGATCGATGGCCTGGAGAAAGTTGCTGTTGGAAGCAACCAAATACATGTATATTATGGATGATTATGGTTATCTCAAAGCAGAAGTCCTTATCGGGGTTATATCTCAAAGCTTAAGTTTAAGCTTATCTAACATAGCACTTTATTTGGTAAATTTACGACTATGTTTTGTTTCCAACATGCAGAAAGATGGTTGACAAAAAACATGACAAGTGGCTCTAAAGTGGAAGAGGAGTATGTTCACAAATTTATGTTTTATTTTTTTACCTCATGAGTGTTAAAATGTTTTTCTAGCCAAATGGCTGGGCTCAAAGAAAATTTGAAGGGACTGAGTCCATTGCTATGAAACTGTGAAATCCACACTGCTCAAGATATGGTTCCTATGAAAAACGTTCTTTTAGGCTGGGTTCAAATGTCGAATTTCACTTGACCCAAACTTAACGCAAGAGTTAAATGCATGTGAAGTGCAACGTTTGAATCAATTAATTAAGACTGTTTAAATTAAATGCGATGTTTGCCGTATCTGCGACTGAAACAGTTGAAGAGTTGACTAAGGTTCAACTTTTGATTCAAATGTCGCATTTCACATGTGCCAACTTAATGCATGAATTTTTGGTAAATTATTATTATATTACTGGGAATATTGACTTTTAACAGAGTTAAATTCCACAGAGTTTAGGGAGTTAAATTTGACGTTTAAATCAAATGCCGCATTTAACTATTTAAGTAGACTAAATTAGGAATAAAGTTCTGCGCATGTGAATTTTGATGTTTGAACTGGGCCTAAGACACTCAGGATTAAAAGTCAGTTGCCACGGGTGACCTGGAGAGCACAGCCTCAAAGCCCAGGTTTGAGGTTGGGATATCCGAGAGGCCAGCACCTGATGGTCCATCATGAGCCACATTCAGGCCACTTCTTAGTCAAGGCCTAGGCCCAGTTGTTCTAAGGCTTATTAGAACCCACACGGGGATAAATTTTTAAATAATTTGGTTTCCTTTTTCATTCGTTCAAAAACATTTTCACACTTAATGTGCTCTTCTTTTTTAGAGCATCCAATCATCAAATTGCAGACAAAAAGAACTTTTAAAGTGAATTTGTTTATAAGCTTTCCTATCTCAACTCAAAGTTTGCATAAACCAGCATTACACAACCTGGCCTGACCTTGTTTATATGAATTCATATGAATTTAATGAGAAAGAGAGTGGAAATAATAGAAAAGTATATGTTATTAGTAGTATGAGGCTACCTTCCACAGAAGATAATCAACTGTGGCAATTTTTGTCTTAACAGGGTACCGGTAGCTTAATTTATCATATATATCCAGGGTGCAAAGAAAGTCAGTTTTACAGCCTGCCATTCTGCAAGCTGTAGCTACCCCATACTAGCCCACAAGTCATTTCAACTAGCCCCCAAACCCTTTTTGATTAGCAGGATTGATTACAATCCTTCGGTAATTTGAATTTCTCCAAAAAACAGCACTTGCCCATCAGGCAAGTTAAGAACAAAAATCACTAGCCCGATAGCAAAATCCACTAGCCCCGGGCTATCGGACATGACTTTCCTTGCAGGCTGACATCACATAAAAGTACCAACTTTGCTTTTCAAAGACAAAAGAAAACTTTTCAATGACTCTTTCGAAGATGTGAAGCCAAAAGAAAGTCAGGCTTAGGTTTACCTTGTCGTTTATTTGCAATATTCATTTAAGAAATCTTTGACCAGAGGAAAAGTTGTGATAATCAAAAAGTTGGTTAATTGAGGTCCAGATAATCAAGGTTTAACTGTTGGCTTAAATGTCCAAAGTCCATTATTTGTTTATAGATTTTAATAACAGTACATGTTATGGATTTTCTAAGAGCTTATATAAATGTAACTTGGATTATTTGGTAAACTGTGGCAAACATTGAAGAGTGCAAATGGTATAGTCTTTGATTACTTTGCAAATTCTCAAGCTGTCAATAAGATGCGTGTACAAAAACATATTATGATATGTGAAATTTTTGCTGTTTACCAAATTTTAGTCAAGTCTTTGTAGCATTATTGATTAATGACAAATGTACATTAAACCCTCTAGCAGTCACTCTAGAAGTCAGCTATTTCATTAGTTTTGTTACCTTTGGCAAGTATCAATAGCCCACCAAACAAACCTTGGCAATTGTGAGGCATTTGCTTTTTGTTATTGGTATTTCCTAAAGTGCATTTAGATATATTTTTAATATAAGAAATAAGAATATTTTGTCTGGACAGTCAACTCTCTTTAAGATGGACACCTTTGGACCAGCACTACTGATTCGGTATATCCGTCTTATAGAGATCCAAATAGAGTGAGTTATAAAGAGAAACAGGGACCATCTCAAGGTGTCCACTTAACAGAGGTGTTTTTAATAGCTATTATTTAAAATTACATACTCTAATAACAGTGGAACTAAGTGCAATGAAGATTGTTATCTTTCCTGTGGTAATTAACTAAAGATACACTTTGTTGGATGTTGTACCAATGGTACCTGAAGGGAAAGTTTTATTTAATGGTTAATTTTTACTGGGTATGTGCTGCTGGCCTCTCAGTATCCCTATCCCATTACTGTATACCGATAGTCTACTCTGTGGCCATATTATAGACCCCATTTCGGTCACTTTGGAAAAAAAGTGATTTTTGCAATCCCAACTTGGTCACTTTCTGTTTATTTATCTACCTAATAAAGTCTTTTGACTTGGTCATCCTGAAATGAACTGACACTTGTTAAACTTAATGTTTTAGTTTTGCTTTACAGTTATAATTGTAAGATCAGGACAAGCTTTGTGAAATAAATGAGAATTGTCAGCTAAAATTCTTGAGTCATTTTTCTTTAAATACTGTAATCACCTTGCACCCTTTACATTGGAACTCTGATATTTAAGAAGTTTCAAGGAACAAAGTGCAATGAAGATTGTTACTGTTTTAGCAGTGTCTTCGTTATATCAGGGTTTCAGGCAAGGGATGTGATAAATGAGGGGGAAAGGGATCGAACTGATGGTCTTTCAACCAGTCCTAGTTGAGTTGAATGAACTTCTGCGGCATTAGTCTACTTTAAAGAAAGGTTGAAAGCTAGTGTTAAGTCCAAATTGCAAGAAGCAATAAAGGGGTAGATGCCAGGGAAGAAAAGAGAGAAGGGTAGTACGTATGTACTGGCCTGGCACGCTCACTTTACTATATAAAATTTGCTCTATATTTGTCCATACAAATATGTTATTTGACAAAGTTTGAACACATTTGAACACATTTGTTTGCAATTTGGCTCATTTATCTCTATTTGTCACAAAGCAAATGTTAAATTTGTCCTACATTTACACAGCATTTGTTCACATTTGTCTTAGATAGCAAATGCATCATTATCCTATTTGTCTTAAAGACAAATGTCTAATTTGTGCTTTGCACAAATGTGAACAAATATGACAAATTTTATATTTAGACCACATTTGTCCCACATTTATCTCATTTCAAATCTGTTTTTTCATCCAGTGTATCAACTCGATGTGAGATTTGGTTCACTCTTGGGCTGTTTGCAAATTATTTTTTGTAAAATCACTTAGCCTTTCCCTGAAAAGTCACACGAATGTGCTCTAAAGTGAACTGAATTGTGGAATACAAGTTTATTGTTTGATTTAAATTATAAATTTATTAATGGGAGCCTCGCTTTTAGCCCTGGCTAAATCTATATATTAATATACAAGGTAGGAAACACGAGGTGCCATTTTCGCCGACATGCTCTCATTCAACACAACTTTTTCCCGGAAATTCGAACTCCAACGAAAAATAAAAATGCCAGGATCGTAGAAATAGGATAGCAGCAGATATAGAAACCAATGAAGCTTTCCCAGATAGAGAAACGAATCCCACAGACTTTGACAAACTCGAAGGATATAATCCAAACAGACCGAGAATATGCTCGCCGAAGCAACCGGGCCAGATCAAGGCGCGGCCAAGAAAATGAGGCCTGGGCACTGTACAAAAAAAAGTCATCCCGGGAGTCCTGAGGTGACCTTTCTGGGCACCGATACATCATTTGCCCAAAGCCACCCTACCCTGCTGAAAAAATACTTAATTTCTTGGCCGCGCGTTGATCTGGCCCGGCTGCTTCGGCGAGCATATTCTCGGTCTGTTTGGATTATATTCTTCGAGTTTGTCAAAGTCTGTGGGATTCGTTTCTCTATCTAGGAAAGCTTCATTGGTTTCTATATCTGCTGCT